GCCTTTTGAACTCCTTTTTGAGGTGGAGACTTTGGTCCAACCTATGCCTGCTTGTTTTTCTTGAAATAAGCTGCATTCTTCATAACTATGTGTCTGAATAAAAATAGGCTGGTAGCATCAATTCAGAACCATCTAAGAAGTACATAGACATCGAGATCATACTCATTGTTTGCAAGAATGCCTAGCCAATTCTCACTTCCATTCTCCAACGAGCAGCCGACACGAGGTCGGAAATGAGCCCATTCATGAAACTGAACTCTTTCTTCTTTATCTTCATCTTCATTCATCTAATAAGTGAGACGCCTAATTCGGCTTCGACTAATGAGAATCATCTTGCCAGGGTTTAGAACAGCACCACCCAAGCAATCTGTTTTCTTCGATTGTTTCGTTCACCTCATCTGATTAGATGGATGGTCCAATGAGATCTATTCGAAAAGAATTGCCACATAGAGAATAAAAACATTTTATCAGCTTCTAGACTAGCTCCGCCGGACCACACCTGTGAACTGCGTCGTCCCCCTGTGTCGTCACTAGGCTCTAGCCTGCCATCGCGAGGATAGTGAAGGTTTATGTCATCGACCGTCGGATATATACGTCACTTAGCTTCTTTGAGCTGAGCACGCCGAAGTGGAACAAATCTTATGAAGGACACTACGAAAATTAGTTCAGCGGTAATTTTAATTTATATTTCTTATCGAAAGCAAGAGTATCTTAGAGAATATAAAAGTCGTGGTGAACTGCGTATTTACAATTTTGAGGCAAAAATGTCCTTACACTAAAAATTTGAGAATCGATAAAATATGCTACCGTAGGATTGACTTCAGCAAATGGCATTCGTTGAACTGGTGACTGCGGTCGAACACTACAATAATCGACACAAATACAGTTGCAGAGACTCGAGGGTGTTGGGAACTGAGTTAAATCAAAAACAATCTTGCATACTCGGCTTGACCACAATCCATGAATTTTAAGTTCACATACCTCAAATAATCTTCGAGTTTTGCAAACATTCAAAGAGATAGCCGAACTTTCGAACCAAGAGACTTTTAAGTATTCAAATTTTGAATATAATAAAGAACTTTCGAAGTCAGTGCCCTTATTGGCAAATACAATATTATACAGTGCACCACAGGACTCGAAAATTTTAGTGGACAGAAAAACCAAGAGGCAAAAGAAGACTAAACCTGCTGGAATGCCCCACAGAAGAATACTTTAAAGTTAGACCTTGTAAGAGACTTATGAAGAATATGGGTGATTCAATACTCGCGGTGCAAGCGAGATAAGGTAGATGAATAACTATAGAAGAGCCGTAGTCAGACAGATTGTCATGGAAAACGAGCAACCAGGGCCAGTTTAGTCAGGCGCTGTCGCTGAGTTTCCGCCGCCAAATTCAATGCTATATGCAATCCAAACTTACCACCCAATGTACCATACTATTGAGTGCTCTTGAAATTCGGTAACCATGAGCTTGAGTGAACTTTGGAAATCTGTTGAAGAAAGATTTAAAGCTGCTGAGATTGACGGCTCTTTACTCTTTCAAGGTGACGGCGCAGAAAATGAGAGAATTCTGGAACTCAGTGAATCTTCCAAATATGAATTCCAAATTACGGTATTACCCAATCTTCAGCACCGACCTGAAATGGGCACAGTTCAAAAGAATCCTTTTGCTAAACCTGAACCGGAATTGACTATCATTGACTCTTTTGGAGATTCAGATGAATTTAGACTATTGTTAAATAAGTTTCCCGTCTCCCCTAACCATTTTATGATGGTGACCAAAGAGTTCAAGTCACAAAACACCCCATTGACACCCTCAGAGCTCTTGGCAACATATCAGATTGTTGACGCTTTAAAGACACAGGACAAAGATTCACGTTGGTTTGCTTTCTACAATTGCGGACCTAATAGTGGCGCCTCCCAGCCACATAAGCATGTTCAGTTCTTGACGCTACCTGAAGGCAATGTGGATTTTAATCTTGATATAGCGAGAAGAACAGAGTTTTTTATCCCAGATCAAAACCGTGAACCTTTACAGGACCCCAGCCTACCATATGCTCATTTTATAGTCCCTCTTCCGGACGGGCCCGGAATGGATGCTGAGGTTTTGGCTATGTTGTTTGCCTCCCTTCTCCAAAGAACATTGACCACACTACAAAAAAATCAGATCGAGACCATTAGCTACAACTTCTGCTTGACACCGCAGTATATGATGATGATTCCAAGATCCCGAGGCAAGTTTGACGATGTCATTGGCATCAACTCTTGCGGTTATATGGGTATGATACTCTGCAAGGACCATGCAGTTTACGAGGGGGTCAAACTGAATGGAATTTTCAATATACTTCATGATGTGGGCTGTTCGTCACGATACGGACAACCGTCCACTGAATATGATTATTAGTTAGACTCTCACGTATACCGAAATGCAATAAAGATATCGATTCTTAGTTGTTGCTCGTCCCACTAGGAACGACTTTTATTCGATTTATTATATACAGTCCACCAAAAATACTGCGGCCAATGGGAGGACTAACTTTTTCATCACGCGAAATCTTCCACTCATATCTAAAACCTCTTCGATAAGTGACCATGGCTTCCATAACTTCCATTGTCAAAGCGTCTGATTGGATCTTGTCAAGGCCAACGTTGGCCAAGGTAGTGACTCCACTTGCTAAAACATTTGTGGCATATGCTGGTTACAGAGAAATGGGCTTGAGGTAAGTATATCATTTCCTCGATGTGATAACGAATACTAATAAACAGATTCAATGATTTAATCGCCGAAGAGAACCCAATAGCCCAGAAGGCAATCTCCAGGCTTCCTGAAGACGAAAGTTACGCCAGGAACTTCAGAATCATCACTGCCCATCAATGTGCCTTGTCACACCAGTTGCTTCCCCCAAACAAGGCTATTAAGCCAGAGGACGACACCCCATACTTGATTCCTTATCTTTTGGAAGCTGAAAAAGAAGCATTTGAGAAGAAGGAGTTGGACAACATCAAGGTTTAACCAAGTATTGAATAGATTTGAAAGATTACTGACAAAATCAGTAGAACATTTCCAGCGATGTCTTATCTCTATAAGTCTATTATATTTACATAGATCAAGAAGGAAGTACTTAGGAGTTCATACCAACTCGAAACTTTCGAAGCTGCTCTAAAACCAAGAAGGTGCAAATCGTGTGCGGACCTAGCCTGATGAAGGAGGGGAGCCAGCCTCTAAACATGAATCCGGGACCTTCCGTCCTTACGGCTTTCATCAAAATGCTCAACGCTCCAGCATTGGATCCTCTTGCATTCATGATTCTAGTTTTGACCACATCCGCAGGAGAACACACCGTTGTTGCCACCAAGCCTGCCATCAATGAAGCACTAAAATGTGTCGACTTTTTCAGGCCATCCAACGAAAAAACATCGACCAAAAGGCCTTTGGCAATATCATAGGTAACCACCTGGGATGCTGTCATAAGGACACCTCTTACTAGATTTGGGGTTAGGCCTCGGAAAAGAGACAAAATACCCTCGTGCCTTCCTATTCTGATGATACCGTCAAATGCATTTTTGTAATTCCGCCTTTCGCTGACAGGAAGAGTGGAGTCGTTCTGCATCCTAATGTTAACAACATCCGATGGATTTCCGACTAGCCCACCCAAAGCACCTGATATCATTGACATCGGTAACAAGGCTGCCGTAGTGGGCATGAGTTTATATCGGCTTTGATATTCCTCTTTAAGATATTCGTATACACCAAATCTCACCGTAGAATATGTGGCTTGCCTGAGTAAAGACGCAGTTAATCCGGAGTAGAGCTTCAAGACACCTTCGTTTTTGACGATAGAAACTGCCATAGAAATGAGAGACTGACCTCTTTTCGATGCAGTTTGCAATCTTACCTTGGCCAAGTCCAAGGGATGTGTAACAAGGCATGCAGCCATGCTTGCAGCACCACCATACCAAAAACTGTTGTTAGATGAATTCAATCTTGCCTCTCTTCATATACTTACGGATAAATAACTTTGCTGGTATTTGAAGTCATCTGGACTGTAAAATGTCTTGCACGGTTCTCTAACAGACTTTTTTTTTCAGGTCGACGGACTTTGGGGCTTCACAATTTTTTGTTGGCCCCGCGCGTTATACCAGTCAATCTACATTAAGGCGAAATGACACTAGTTAATGCCTTTGATGTTTACGACCTGAGCTATTTAGCCAGACCCAACAGAGCACATATGCTTGAAGAATAAAAGTATACTGCCGAAGAACGTACTCAACAAACGACAGCAAATGCCATGATCCACTTGGGCCAGTCTCCAGTTTCGTTTGGGGGGCATGCACTGAAATAGTGTTGATCAGCCAACACGTTTATTTGTAAGGCGCTGAAATGGGTTGAAAGGGTAAGACAGTAAAGATAATTGTTTTACGTTATCAGTAGTACCGAATTTCCGAAGGCTCGGTTCGATATTATGCAGGACCATGAATCTCGCGGAGTGCCAGCGAAACGCAATCGAGTTTCATGACTACTTCACCTTAAGGAAATGAGCAGGGCTGAGGTGGATTTACAGATCAGTGTCAAAAAAGCCTGCAATTCAGAGGAGGTCCCTCCCAAAAGAAAACATGTTCGAGCTTGTATCGTGTACACCTGGGATCATAAAAACTCTCGTGCTTTTTGGAATGCTGTTAAGATTCAGCCATTGCAAAGTAGTGAAGTGCAATTGTTTAAAGCCTTAATTATGATTCACAAGGTGTTACAGGAGGGTCATCCAAATACCCTCAAGGATGCTTATAGGAATAAGGACTTCTTATACTCCTTATCTACTGTCTTCTCCAGTTCATCAAGCTATGGTCGGTTGATTAATCATTATGATCGATTTTTGATGCGGAAGCTTGATTTCCACCGAAACAACCAAGGCTTCAATGGAATTTTCGAGTATGAGGAGTACATCTCATTGCGAAGCGTGAATGACCCAAACGAGGGCTATGAGTCAATCTTACAATTGATGGATCTCCAGGATCTCATCAACGATCTCCAAAAACTTATCTTTTCCACTGTGCAGCAAACTCCGAATAATTTGTGCAAAGTTTCTGCGCTCGTTCCACTTATTTCTGAGTCTTACGGCATCTACAAGTTCTTGACATCAATGTTAAGAGCAATGTATCAGCAATTAGGGTCCGATGAACTTTTGACTGCTCTATTTGAGAGGTTCAATTCTCAACACTTTTACCTTCGCGAATTCTATGCTGATTGCCAAGCTATCAAGTTCTTGACAAGCTTGATAACTATACCAAAGATTCCAGGTTCTCCTCCCAACTTGATGCAATCCGAGGATGGCAGATCATCCACCTCAAGAGCTGCCGCCGAAGAGCCAGTGTTGTCATCTCAGCAAACCTCTGTTTATGATGCGCCGGCGGTCCCTCCTTCGGCTGAGGAGTTCAACCAATCAAGTCTCCTTGAGGAGCAAAAGTTCCAGCAGGAACAATTACAGAGAGAGCAACAAGAATTAGAGCTTCAGAGACAGAATCAAATTCAAGAACAGCTTCGTCGTCAGCAAGAATTCGAACGTCAAAAACTCGCTCAAGAAGAGAATAATCTAAGAGAGCAGCAAATGCTAAGACTTCAGCAAACGAATGCCCAAAATTCCAGAGTGTCTGAATTAGAAAATGATCTTGTCATGTTCAAGAACCAGTTTGACAATGACCAAGCTTTACTTCAGCAGTATGACTCGAGGGTAAAAGCGTTGGAAACTGAACTTCAAAGCATTAATCAAACAGCATCTGAGCAACTTGCTTCCAAAGATGAACAGATTAGTAACATCGAAGAACAAGTAACCAATTGGGCGAAAAAGTACGAGGCTTTGGCAAAGCTCTATTCGCAATTGCGTTCAGAGCACTTGAATTTACTTTCGAAGTTCAAAAAGATTCAGCAAAAGATCAACAGTGCGCAGGAGTCAATCGTGAAAAAGGAGAAGTTTGAAAAGGAATTGAAACAAAAGAACCTTGAGCTTGCGGACCTCATAAGAGAAAGAGATCGGGCAAGATTAGATCTTGACAGATTACGAATCACCAAAGATCAGGAGATTGACAAATTGAAAACTCAACTGCGCGAAATATCATCTCGGTATGCGGATAGTGACGAATCTTCGACGAAAAAGTTGCAATCTATCAAAGACCAATACGAAGGGGATTTAGCCGCTTTGAACAAGCTTCTTAAGGAGAAGGAAGGTCAGTTGATTGACCTAGGCAGCCAATCAGCACTCAGAGAAAAGTTGAAGGAAAAGGAAATCGACTTGGAGATCGCTCAAGAATCCTTAGACAGTGCTTTAAAAGAGTTGTCAATCAGCTCTCAGGGTCCAAGTGTTAAACAGTTGTGGGCTCTATTGAACATTATCTTAGCCAATAACGTGCGCAGGGTTCAAGACACCAAGTATGATCTTGGGTCACCAATGCAAACGGGTAATGTCAGTGCTACACCAAACTATCTTCTTTCGCTTTTGGACCTTTGCTCCGACACTGCCACGGATTTTGCTCTGGTGTTCAATAATTTTCTTGCCGAGGGTCCTCAACTAACCGATGAAGATGATGATAACCTGACATTTTCAAGCGTTATTCTCACCAGTTCTGAGTTGGCATCAACTCTCAACGATTTGATGCTTAACATAAAGGGCATTTCTAAAAACATACCAACTGAAGATGAGCAAGTTGTCATTCAATTAATGGAAAATCTTCTCGCAAAAGCCGAAGATTTCTTCCTTAGCCTCACATCTGATTCATTGGACGCCCTTGATGATGAGGACGAGAAAATTGATTTAGTGATCGATTACAACGTTCAATTTCAACATTCTTTGAAAGAGTTATCTGCTGCTATCGAAGGCATCCAACCACGTCATTCCTTATCTCTCAAGAGAGGAAACATTGAAGATGTGGTAGATGAAGAGATGGAGGAGGCTGCGAGACAGATAGATGCAGCGATGGAGTTCCTTGGCAAACTTCAACTGCAAAAAATAGAAGGCAGTGATTTGCAGGTACATCAGGCAATTGTGGCAGCTGCTATGAGCGTTACACAAGCTGTCACAGTACTCATCAAGGCGTCGATCGACTCACAGCGTGAGATTGTCGCTCGAAACAAGGGCACTCAAACAGTACGGGAGTATTACAAGAAAAATAACAGATGGACCGAAGGACTTGTTAGCGCGGCCAAAGCCATCGCAGGGGCAACGAATATCTTGATCGAGACAGCTGATGGGGTGTTGAGGGCAAAAAATTCTCACGAAGAATTGATTGTTGCTTGCAATGAAGTTGCTGCTTCGACTGCCCAACTTGTAGCCGCGTCTCGAGTCAAGGCCAACACCATGTCAAAGACACAAGACCGACTCGAATCATCATCTACAAAGGTGAATTCAGCCTGCAAATCATTGGTCAATAAGGTGCAAGCCCTTCTCTCCCAAACTAACGATGATCAATCAAATATTGATCTAAGCCAATTAACCCCTTACGAAGGAAAGACCTTGGAAATGGAACAACAAGTCCAAATTTTGAAACTTGAAAACTCACTTCAAGCCGCAAGAAAAAGGCTTGCCGATATCAGAAAACATGGATACCGTGATGATGACGATTCTGAATAGATGTTTATATTGACCCCATAAATAAAAATGTTGTTTGGACTTCTTTGCAACGTCAACCTGGCATTTCATACATTCTAATCGTTCAAACTGTCTACTTATCTTCTACAACTGATGACACAAATTGCCAAACATTAAATGAACTAATTGGGAGACCACCAATTAATTGACCGTTCATGAAGACGACTGTGCGTTATGTGAACCCCACATTGGAGAGTTTTCAAGGACAACACGATCAGATAATTGAGAAAGAGATAATATCGCGGCAAAAGTGAGAAAGGAGACAACCTTGTTCTTCAAGAACTTGATCCAGAAGTCGTACAAGGGTACCTACACCACAGGATAGATATACGATAAGAAATCAAAATAACTTGAAGCATGACGAATCTTACCATTGATATGATCTAACACATCCTTATGAAATATATATAACGCTAAATATGACTCTAGCAAAGGAACCACTTACACATTCAACCCGTTGGCAAAACTCGAAGATGAAGCAAGATCCGCTACTTCTCACCAGCGTAGAAGTGAAGACAGTCTTGATTACAAAAGATACAAATACCACCAACACTCATTTGATAGACAAACATAGCGAGCTGGTACGCTCATGATTTTTATTGCCACAAGCAAAACACTGTTGTCGCCAAAATTATTCGAAACAGAATCTTTGCCAGTCAAGTATCGAAGCCTTTCCGAGCAGTCTCACTAGTATAAACTTTGTTCAACACATGTTGCCTGTAGGTAATCTCTATTGGCATTGAATGAATTAGATCTTCGATAGACCAAACTCTGAACAACCCTGGTGATTACAATTGGTCATGTTCTCTAAAAATCTTTCCACGTTGCACGCCAAATTGTTTAAATGAATCCCTACAATACTAAAGGCGTCTTCCCTTCGTCTCCGTACTCAATGCATATTTCTGGAAATATTGATAAGGCGATATATAAAGCTTGAATGGTTTATTACATAGCAGCCCCTATAGTATCTTGCTTGGACTTGCAACAGCGGCAGGGTTCAACGAAATAGGTAATTGAACTACGAACCATAACTTTTCGGACGCTGATTTCATCATCTACATTACTACGATTGGGGGTAGCGAGAAAGAAAAGGCAATGTGGTAGATCAGTAGAAATGAAGTTATCCAAGTATTCGGCGCAAGGACTACTTGATTTCGATGAATAGTTGGCAGGACTAGATCTTTTGCAGTACGGTTGATCTTAACTTATTATCATTTAATAGAGTAAAGCGCTATACACCTTGATGAATCCTAGAATTTAAAATGTTGCACGCGTGTGAGCCATATTCATATTCTCTCCTTCCAGTGACTTTAAGGCATCGTTTGGTTTGAATCGTTAATGCGTCAATGAATATAAAATTATTCAGCTACTGCTGTAACGTTCTTTTTCTCCAAAGAACTGGAATGGCATGTCCCTCTGAATAATATAAATTCTTGCCGCTCAGTACATGGTATTTCGTGCTATTCTCTTTAGTTAATGTTACTCCGATTATCTAAATATCTAAATGTGTTGTACAGGTAATTGCTGTTCACCATTTGGATATGAAGATAATTGTTAAAAGCAGAATTTTTTTTTCTGACAAGACTTTAATAATGTTTGATTTCTATGAATTCCCAGATGTTGAATGGGGTTAAGTGGCGCCTTGTTGATTCAGTGTTGAATGGTGGTGTGATATTGGGGTTTCTGGACTGACATTGATTCGATATTAACAATTTGAGCTGGGACCGGCTTATTGTCTTATCAATAAGAAATGTATTTTTGCATGATGTCTGCTACTTGGTGTTAAAAGTTTTCCGTTCTTAATGCTTTTGTTTGTTAGTTTGGTTCTACAGTTTAAACATCTCGAAGTTGCAATCGGGAGTGGGTGGCTAGATTTGGATTGGTTTTGTTTCTTGAAAAGGTGCTGAGGTCATGGTGTACGTACTGTTCAATATACTCACGAGGTGTGGAGGGCATGGTGGTAGGCATTTAGTTTACATCCTTTTCATCTTCTAGTCGTGCTTTTGAGACAATCAATCCTATAACTCCAGTGTACATTGTATGTTCTATTAAATGCGGCTAACACCCTTAATATTTACATTTTGGGAGTTGAAGCTTGCCACAGCTTCCAAAGTAGTACTTAATTGCCTGCCAATAGAGCTTGAATTGATGCGGTCTTTTAAGTGTTAGCTTGGATGGTCCCTGCGATTAGCGGGACTGACGGCTATATCTCGTCTTCCCGAGATCAAAAGGTAGATACCTGTATTTGACCATGTGTTGGATCTGTTTTCGCATAGTGAGGCAGAACAAAATGATGAAATACATCACGAGAATTGGCCAGAAGACTGGAATATCAAAAATGGTGAAAAATGACGTCAACAAAGACAAGACAGTTGCCCTAACGGCTTTGAGCCAGAATTTGAATTCTGGAAGGCGGCGGATAAAAGGTTTGAACTCCTCCTCCACTTCGTCAGTCCCTTCTTCCAAATTGGACGAGAACAGCTCCTGTTCAAGGGATGGATCAAACTTTGGCGTAAGGAAAGCCAAGAACAAGTTGAGAAGATAGATTCCAAGAGCATAACATATGATATACCATCCCTGACTAAAAATGATCCTAAGGACAAATAATGTCAAAAGGACACCGAAAGTGATCCATCTCTCTTTCACATAGGGGACACTTCGGTCGAGGATCTCTTGATAAGTTACTTTAACTTTCTGCAAGGCATCACTTATGTTGTTATCTGGTATATTCAACATCGTAGCAACAGGCGCTTTTCAAGAGCCACGTAGTTGGAAGTGAGCGAAAATGATAAATACAGGACGTCCAGAGTCGGGCCTATATACAGAATATGAAAGTTTCTAGGACATCTATTCTACGAGGGATTGAAGAATGCCTCAAGCAACAGAGTAATCAAAGGCCTATCCTTGTATTTCATAAACGAAAATTGTCAGAGGGTGTTCGCCCCTACTGAGGTTGAATTTAGCAACCAATGATGTATGCAGTATCAATGTTTACTTCTATGCGTCGATTTTCGTGTTTTACAAAAACATTGGCGAAGGGATGGGCTGCATCGCTCACTCAAACACGCTGTATCGCGAACAATATATAATTAACCCCGGTACCCTCTTACCTCAAAATTTTATATCAACCTCATTGCGTATACTAGTCGCGTCCGTTCCTTTCTTTCAAGATTAAAATGATCTTTCCATTCGTTAAAGTCATTGCTGTTGCCGCTGTTGCAAGTGCCGTTCCTTTCAAGCGTTACGACAACAACACTGAAGCTTACTCTCCTCAGTCTGCTGAATATGACACCACCGTGACGATTGATAAATTCATAACTATCACCTTGCCCTCGACTACTTTGACAGTCCCCGCCACTGCGTCAGATGACGTCGCCAAAGCAATCAGCCTGGCTGAGGCTGTCGGTCTGACTGAGCCGATCACCGTTACTTCCACCATCGTCGAGTATACGACTATCGAAGACCATGGTTCTGCTGTCGAGTCTCCAATTGCAACAAAGACAAGCACAATTACCTCGACCCCAACAACGACCTCTACGATCACACAGTTCGTGACAATCACTGAACCGGAATCATCAAGCGCTTTGGAGGCATGTGCCGCTTCTACTGTCACTGTGACGGTCACTGAGAAGGAATCTTCGAAGTCCGAAGCTGAAGCCGCTGTTGTGACTGGAACCTCCACTCATGTCTCTGCCTACCCTGTTGAGGCTGAATTCACTTTGAGTGGAACCACCACGACCATCACTTCATACGTTGACGTAACCACCACGGAAATTTTTACCACTTCTGCCTCATTGAACTCAACCAATTCGTTGCAAAGCTCTAATGGTACCTATCAGGTTCCATCAAACTTGAAAAGAGCTGCCTTGTACGCCTTCTGATGAATAAGACTAATTTCATGGTACTCGATACTCATAAAGAAACTGTCTTAGATATTCAAGTCGTCGAACACGATGACCTTTTGTATTACCCTGTCAACATGTTTAGCTTTTAAATTAGATTTTGTTTTACGCAGACGTAATTATAGGTTGCTCCCCGGCCCTATACCGCTTAAACCCTATTGTGCCCACAAAACGGTCCAACCTTGGCCTATCTGAGGTTTTATCTAAAACTCTTTCTTATGAGCAGGACCTAAACTTCAATAGGCGAAGGAACCTATCATATTACATACCCAGATCAAGCGCCTCCGCACAAAAAAATAAATCCTTTGGCATCAGTTCAATCGAATGATAATCCAATTTGGTCATTCGGCCAAAAGAGGGTTTTTTTGTGGAATGGTCGAACCGAGTCCAAAGTCGAATCAAATGCAGGATTTAGAAGTCTCAAGCAACCCCTCAGGGTCTGCATGTAAAGGGATACCACTATACGAACTCACATTCAGCACATAGGAATATCATGTCAAACTTTGAGGCTTGCAAGCTTTACGAGGCTGTTATTGAGGAGGTGATCACAGACTCTCGCCAAGATTTTGAGGATAGCGGGATTGATGAAGGTACACTTCAAGATTTAAAAAAGCTTTGGTGCGAGAAGTTAAGTCAATCTCGTGTTGGAAACTTCTCTTGGAATGACTTGGACGACCTAGATGGTAATATCCATGCGAGCTTGATCTCCCACCCTGTGAAAGAAGAATCTCTCCATGTGAATCAAGAGCTCGAGATGCCTATCCCGCAATATGATCCTACCGATGGTAATCCTACAAATGACCTATCTAGTCATTCGAATTCAGGGTATTCCATGGGAATAGAGTTGCCGACGGTGAAGCAGGAATACACCGAGGAAAACGGTTTGATCCTTCCCAAAGTCAATCAATCTGATGGTCCTATCGAATTCACCATAGAAGCTGATCAGAAAAATCTCAAATGGTATAAAGCGTTAGCAAAGCGTCAATCTGATGGACCGAATGATGGTCTGGTTGAACTTCATGGCCAAAGTGGTGGTGTTGGTATTGGCGAGGATGATGATGATGATGGAATTTTCAACGATTCTGATGATATTAATTCAGATCTAGATGACGAGCTTGATTCCGAGAAGTCAGACGATGAGGACCTGGAGCAGGAAGGACAGATTATGCTTTGCTTGTACGATAAGGTGCAAAGAGTTAAAAACAAATGGAAATGTAATTTGAAAGAAGGAGTTGCAAATATTGATGGCAGGGATTACATTTTTCAAAGAGCAACGGGGGAGAGTGAATGGTGAACTTCATCGTCTAGCTCGATGGCTACCGGGTGTTAACAGGCAAATGCGCTTTGAATGGTCAAACTTATGTGCATATTAGTATATATTATGATCGTATGGATCATTAAAAGGACGGAATTTGTAAGTCCAATGTTTCTCTCTTGTCGTCGTCCAATGGCTTGCCATCCAAGAATATACAGTCAAAGTCAGTAATGCAAAGGCTCAAGACTTCTAGTGAGATTCGTAATGTAGGAACAAAGACAATGCAAATATTCCTGAGGCTCATCAAATTCGTCTTCCTCCTGGCGACCACGGTACTTAGAAGCCTGAACACAGTGAAACAAAAATCGAAATTGCCTTGAGTCACATTAGATTTATCATTTATAAGCCGCTGCATCTGCCACACAATCTGGGATCTAGGTTGAGCATCAGTGCCTGATGTGAACATCAGTTGCATATGGGAATATGCTGCGTTACCAAAGATATTGTCAGGCAACTCTCTCAAGTATGTTTTGAAAAGACCTGCCACTGTGTGAATGTCAGGATTAAGCTGATGTTCGAATAGATCAACATCGTGTTCCTTGTTAAATTGGTCCTTGAGCGTCCTGATCGTCGACGCTGATCCACTCAACCGAAATATTCCTTCTTCATAAATAGCGCCTGTTTTTGATAAATAATCGAGACATCGACCACACACTGTGGGAATAAGGCGGCCGTCAAATGTCCTGGATGATAAATCAAGCGCCTCAGCAAGCTCTTTACCAAATACGGGCTTGAATTGACCAGGCGTTAGATTCATGACCGCTAAATGGGCCTCGAGGCTCATATTATTGCCACCCTCCTCAAGTGTGGAACCCGTTCCTTCTTCCTCCGTTTCAAATTGCTGACCTTTATATCTAAAAGGAAACAAACTTCGTTTACGAAGTTTTTTGACGTCCTTCAATTCTTTGGAGTCCTCCTCCTTTGACAATTGTGCGGCTTTTGGGGAGCTCAACAGATCAACAACTCTGCTAGCATTCCTTTGCTCGTGGCCATCAAGATTCATTTGGGTGATCATTGGGTCATTTTCGGTGTACTCTACCATTGCATTGACCCAATCGTCTCGCTCCTTGTCCAGTTCAGCGCAGAAAAAATGCTTCTGTGTGGAGCTTGAGATTTTGTTTTTCGGATACTCAAGTATAAGGAACGCATGCCGGTAACCTTTTTCTTCAGCAACATTATCAGATGACTGACGACCGATTTGCGACCCAGTAAGTCGAACCTGCTCGATCATTGGACCTCCTGGAAACTCATAAATCTCTAAGGATGGTCCATCGACCTGGCACCATCTTGTCTTCCATGTGGTTCCCAATCCTTTATATCTTCTAATTAAGTAACCCTCCAATCTAGCGCCACTTTTGAAATCATCAAGGGGATTGACGAAGTCTAACGAGATATAGCGACAGATGCGGTTCAAAATTAGCTTGGGTATATGGGGAATTAGAAATATTGAGTTGAAGTAATGTTGAAGACTCTGTTTTCGTGAATCTACTTTAGCTGGTACAGTAGATGAAAATAGGCTTCGTTCAGGTAAAGGTGGAAGGCCGAAGGCTTCCAACACTGGTCTTATCTCATTATCGAAAGATAAAATTTGACTGTAAGACTTCCTCACTTTCCACATCCCCTTTGCTGTTTCCCGATCATTGATAGAAAGGGTGCAACTGAAATCCTCTGACTTTTTAGGGTTGAAACTGAGTGTGCTAATGACCTCAATTTTAATTGTCTGAAAATCTTCTGGCTTAATGAAAAGAATAACATCATCATGAGTTTCAGGTGATGTGAGGACCTGGAAGCTAGAGCCTTGTGAAGTTGGTGACTGCTTGACACTTTGTGGCTCAGTCAATGAATCAACGGGTGTCTTTGGCAGCATCATCGCTTGCGTCTCGTAAGATCCAGATTGAGCAAGCAATGGAGTGGTAGAGCTGGACGATATTTCTTTTTTGGAGTTTTTCTCTCTTCTGTCGGACTGAGTCGGAATAGCTTCGCTGTCACCATGAGGTGGGGAATTGGCAATAGCGTTCAGTTGTACACGCGAAGGCAAGGATGCTTCGGAGTTCCTCATTGTATGCGGGAGTTTGATTCTCGTGCTGTATGAACTAACTCTCAGGTGGTTTGCAAGTTGGCTCAGTTCTTGATGAAAACTTTCCTTCAGGTTCAACTCCCTTGGATTATCATGTTTTGTTGTTCGCAACGCATTATCATCCAGTTTTGCATCATCTCCAATCTCTACCTCCGTTGTTTGCATCGATGACTGTACATCATTATTACCTCTGCCCTCGGTTGCTCCATCACCAGCAGCTTTCAAGTCCTCCTCAAGAGAATTACTCCGTCTTATTGCTAACGAAAGCCCGGACTTGAAATTCTCTGAAAGAGGAACACTATGAGCAACAACTTCGGGGTGAGGCTCTGTTTTGGGGATCTCTTCGGGGCGATTCTCATGGTTCTCTTGGTCGACGTGTCGAGAATCCTCCTTGTATACCCTTCGGCGAGCAGATCTTTGTGGGATTTCATCAAAAGACTGTACTGATGCTGATTTAACACGAGTTTCTGATTGTAGTTGCTTGAAATCACTCAATTTCTTTTCCTTCTGCTCACATTCAGCTCGTAGTTCTTTTATCTCAAAAAGTAGTAGCTCAATAAATGCACTATCGCTTAACGATGTTCGATCAAAGGCTGGATGAGAAGGGGGAATCTCCTTCAGTCCCCGGTCCCTCATTTCTATTAGATGGTCTTGGCTCATCTGCGAATTTGATAAAGCTTGCAAGTGGCTTCCTACATTTCTTAAACATGCGCGCGTATTTATTACTTGTTTACCCCACGAATTGTGCCACTTGAGATTGAAGGTGTTTGTCATAAGAGTTTCAAATCTTGATTATTTGTCATTATGGCTGACCACAGAAATTATACTTCCTTTCGCTTCATATGTCTCGAGTTTCTCAATATCCGGCGACCTTGTTCGGCGACCAGAATCGACGTTGCGGCATTAGTTTGTGCATTCACGTCATAAATTTCTCTAAGCATTTTGCTTTGTGGTTCTTGTTGGCTTTCGGATACTTTTGAACTCTGTAAGTAAGAGTGATTTGCAGGTAATATTGACTGTGGCATCAACAGCCTTCCAAGCTTGATAACTTCATTTGCCCAAATTGTAACCTCGGTCTTAGGATTCTTATATGGGATCCACAGCTTTTTGCAACCTTTGGTCAATTCTTTTATGACATGTTCTGTCCCCCATGAATTATTCCATAAAACTGGATCATCGGTGGTATCTCTCTGGTTATTTGTGAGTCCAATTAAGTGCGAGAAAATTCCAGAAGCAAGTGCACCATCTGAATACCCGCCCTCTAAAAACGAAATAACCTTTCCATCGGTATGTATTTTTGCGAGCTTCACAACATCCTTGGTGAATTTAGCGTAAAATGAAGTAGGAACGTTGACTCCGTGTCTTTGCATTTGTGGATTTTCATACTCAGACGCGTCGAGTCCAGCTGATATAATTATCAATGGCTTAAAGGGTTGCGGTGGGGAGGGTTTAGCAACAGCGCTTTTGAAAAGATGAGGCTTAGCAAGGTATTTGTTGTACCTGGTAAGCTCGGTGATGTAATTGGCGTTCTCCTGCTCGTGCTGGCGTTTAGCTTGATTGAGGAACTGGTTTGCCCGATTCAATATAGCAACATATTTTGTTTGGTAATGTTTGTAAAATTCATCCTCCGTATTCCATTCCTGAAGATGGACATTCCAGATATTGACATTGTGATCCATCACACATACTGATGCATTTTTGATATTTTCTTTTGTAGCGAATCCAAGCTCTGTTGGATAAGACTTGATGTCGTGCAAAGAGAAGTAACCAACTTTTGGATATGAGGACTGCGTTGTATCACTAACTGTATTTTGCTGTTCCTCGTCGTCTTCATTTAATTTGCCGAAGTCACCGCAATAGCCGCTTCGCTCCCAGCAGATGTCTTGCGTTCCATCACCATGGTGAAGATCAATGTCCAAGATGGCACAGTGTGTTACACCATAAGTCTGAGAAGCGTACTCTACCCCGATTTGTGCATTGTTTAAGACACAAAAGCCGCCTGGAAGACATGCGTGAGAATGGTGACCTGGAGGCCGAAGAACAACAAAAGCCAACTTATGGTTGCATATGTCAGGACCCTTTCCAAATAGGGAGTCCACGGCATGTTCGATGGTTCCAATTACACCCTCAAGTGCTATAATAGTTTTGGGAGTTAAGTAAATGTCGCCCGGATTCCAGTCCGAGGGGATTTCAAGCTCCTCCTTCTTCAACTTTTCATGTGACCGGAGGCATAAGCCATACAAAAGTTTTGGCCAGCTTTTTCCATGCACGTTGGTTACATGTTTAGAAAATAAAGAGCTTCTCTTCCCGCAACTTTTAATAGCAAAGAAAAACGGATACATGGAAAGAGCGGCTGCGACACCAATACAAGAAGCAAGTAGTCTTTGAGGTCTCTCAAAAATGGTGGACAAGTAAGATTTCAGCATCCATGTTCTTCCGAATGAATGCTCTGATGAATATGGTGATAAAAGTACTAATGTTTTATCGATTGTCAGATTGAATCGAGGACTTTGTTTCTCAATTTGTGGGTTTGCGTTCATGAACTCTGCGAGAGTCCTTTTAAACTTGACAAGCTCAATATCAATAAGTGGAGAAGGTTCTAGGAGCTCGATTAGCTCATCATGGTTTTCTCTATCTTTTCCCATAAATTCTTCATATTCCCGTCTCTGTTCTCCTTCGAGCTTCAAATGCCCCTGTGGTCCATGACTATCCAGGGGTTCAAAGCCGTTCAAATTCGTCAGTTCTCTTCGCAGTTCCAGAATAGGTTGCAATCCCTCAACACGCGTAATGGTGTTTAGGGCCGATCCATTGAGAATAGTGCTTTGATCTATCGTTATGTCATCAGCTTCTATAATTTCATTTGATGGTCTGATGCTCAACGTCGTTTCGAATTGGGTAATAAATGATTCGTCAAGCTCGTCGTCATTCTCATTTCGTGGCATGATTGAGAACCGTGCCTTCTATCTGACTCCTCTGATCTGCTTGTATTGGGACGCGTTGGGAGTTGAAGTATGTCGAGAACCGTGTTTAAAGAGTGTGTCAAAGTTGTAGTACAAGCTAGTCACCGGGTAAGCGCAATTGGAAAGCAAGATAGTGTTGGACTTACAAACAGTTGAGCTTGATCTCAAAGAATGTTGACTGAAGGCTCGTCTGTTATATGCACGTCTGGCAATCCCTTCAATGTGAAGAAGAAACCAATTGCAACACAAAAACATCTTAAAATTTATTTATGCTATTAAAGAGACCGGGGGCTCTCGCCAACGTTGTGCTTGCGGTTGCGAAGAACGTTTTCAATGTACGCTTCGCCTGCCTTGTACGATGATCTGACTAAAGGACCACTTGCAACATACAAGAAGCCCATTTTCAAAGCTGTCTCTTTCCAATAATCAAACTTTTCTGGTCGCACGTACTCCACCACCTTCATATGCCTTCTGGTAGGCCGCATATATTGTCCGAACGTTACAACATCACAACCGACAGCACGCAAATCCTTCAACGTTTGAACGATCATTTCATCGGTTTCTCCGAACCCCAACATCAAGGAAGTTTTTGTCACCAATGAAGGGTTGGTTTCCTTCGCCCTTCTTAGAATGGATAGAGATTGTCTATAGGTGGCTCTTCTATCTCTAACATGCGGTGTAAGAGCTTCCACCGTTTCCAAGTTATGTGCGTAAACATCCAATCCAGAGCTGGCCAAAATATCGCAACTATTGAGATCTCCCCTGAAATCACCTCCCAACACTTCAACTAGAATTTGTGGCGCCTTTTGCTTGATCCGCCTAACTGTCTCAGCAAGATGCTGCGCTCCACCATCTATAAGGTCATCTCTATCGACAGTTGTGAGTACGACATAACCGAGTCCCCAGCGGCTTATAGCCTCGGCAGTGTTCTCCGGTTCATTGGGGTCCGGCTTTGATGGGTTTCTGTTTGTCTTTACGGAACAAAATCTGCACCCCCTCGTGCATGTATCACCTAGCAACATTATCGTGGCCGTTGCTTCAGACTTTTTACCGCCCCAACACTCACCTATGTTGGGACATTTCGCCTCCTCGCAAACTGTGGCTAGTTTTAATTCCCTCACATCCTTCTTGACACTCTGGAAGGAATTTCCCTTAGGAATAGGAACTTTAAGCCACTTGGGCAATTTCTGTTGTGTATCTGTCCTCGCTGCTTCCAATGGATCAACTAACATCTCTGATGCTTTTCCAGAGACGAAGTCATCGAATGAAGGGCCCTTGTTTAACGAATCAGAGAAATGAGTTCTTCGTCTCCGTGACTTGACCGCCATCTCAGAAGTAGCGTAAAGTCGGCGAACATTCCCAAAAACTGTTCTAGTGTTCATTGAGCAAAATTGAGAATAAGTTACAATCCTTATATAAGTAGTGTTCTGATTTTTTATGCAGGTCTGACTTCTCGCTTGACTTCAACTAAAGCGTTGACTCCGAAGCGACAACTAGTTACGACACTATAATAAACGGTGAATTTCTTCATCTTGGAACTTTGAAAGATTCGAAAGATTCTCCCACCACTCGAAAAGGAATGTCTCACAGATTAATCTGAACCACGGCGTGAAAACAAGACTTGAGTCTTTGAACATTTCCTGAAGTACAGAGGCACTCACAAACTTGTGATCCTTCACTTCATTATAATTAGGATCAACTGTTACTTTTGAGGAGCACTTCATGATAAAGATATAATCGATCTCGTGTTCACCCCATTTGGAGCCGACACCACTCGCCGATTTGTAATGTATTCTGGTCAAATACTCAAATTTTGAGATGGGACATTCTTGTGCTGGTATACCAAGTTCATGGAATAGCTTCCTCTGTGCTGCAACTTTGGCGCCAGCAATGGCCGTGTTCAAGTCATCTTTGTTTCCATTCTCATTCTGCAGCAGTATCCCGAGTTCCGAGGGAACGCAAAGTGGATGTGAGCAACAGGTATTTGTCCACATATTTGGAAAAGTGATCTTCTCGTCTGCTCGTTGTTGCAAGAGAAGCTCGTTCTTCTCGTTGAAAAGGAAAACAGAAAAGGCTCTGTGTAATAAGCCCGCATCAATGTTCTCCATCAAATGACACAACTTTTTTGTTCCAGCTCCAACCGGTTTATCGTAGTAGTCAAGTACAATACATAGTTCTTCCATTAGCCTGACCTGCTCCTCGTCGTGCCCATCGAATACATCCTCGGAAGTCGACAGTCCTCCTGAAGAGGTAGGAATTCCCGATATTCTCTGTAAGGGCGTTACCTCCAGCCATTTATTTAAAATAGCCAGTTTATCTAAAGATTTCACCAAGTCGTCGTAAGACATTATTGAACGTGACTAAGGTTAGAGCGGGATAGTAAAGAGAGAAAAAAAAAAAAAAAAATAACTGATTTTATAGCGCGACCCGTCGAGTGGGCTGCAGTTTTAACAATGTATCGTCACTATGCACTCGTTAAACATATGTTCATATTTGGAGGAGGACAGTTTGGATACAACCAAATTATCCGTCGCTTACAATTTAATTTTTGTTAAATTTATTTGATCAATGTTTAAATCTGTGTAGAGGAGAAAACCATTTCATCAGCTTCCAGAGTAGCACCGCTTGAGCAATCCTGTGAACTAGGACGGCCCCCCGGGTCGCCCCGAGGTCCTAGCCTGCTATCGCAGTGGACAATTGTTGCATTTCTTGTATCGAAGAGCTATTTTAGTTGCTTTATCATATTTTTAACATTCGTGGTTTTTTTTTTTTGAAAGCATCTTAACCGCGGAGAATTGTAACACATAAGGAAACATTTAGGTAGTATCAGCAAATATTATCGGTTTTTTGCAAACTTGCGAACTGATTTTTTTTTTTTTCGAAGCAGCAATTGCATATTTGAACTCGCGACTCTTTCAGAAAACGATATTCAAAAAGTAATCATGACAAGTTGACAGGCAAAAGATAAGCTTACTCTGCAATCGACTCTATTCCCTAAAAGCTTAGCTAAGCGCCTGTATACAGTTGACTCTAATGTCGCGTACTTCGCGGTGTGCTGTTAATACTGCGAAAATTTGGTCGACGGTTTTTTCCTTCCACGTCAAGATGTCAACTGTCATACGCCCTAAGAAGTTTGTCAAGCGCCCGGATGATTCTGGGATGAAGAAAGAAGTAGATTCTTTGATGACTGAGATCAAGGAGCTAGAGGCGGCTAGCAATGAACTTACTGCGCAGATCGACCGAGTCAAATTCGATGCGAGAAATGTTGAGAGAAAGAAGCAATTGCAAGCCGAATTGAAGGATGTGATCTCCGAACAGGGATCATTTAAAGCTGAACGTTCGGCTATACAAACTCAGATCAAAAATGTTGACATGCAAGTGAAGAAGAAAATTGCCGAAATTCAAAAGTTGACCTCCAAGACGAACTTTAAATCCGCTTCCGAAATCGACACAAGAATTAAAAACTTGGATGAGTTGATTGGATCTGGCGAATTGAGGTTGGCCGAAGAGAGGAGGCTCATCCGTGACTTGACGTCGTTGCGTAAGTTGAGAAAGGATTTTGGCGAGGTTGAATCCCAACAATCCGCGATCGACAAAGACAAGACGAAGATTGCTGAGCTCAAAGACCAGTTGAGCAATATCGGGAATAAGGAGGTCCAGGCGCGTTTTGAGTCTATTCAAGAAGAGTTAGATGAGATAAACAGTTCTAACAACTCGACCTATGAGCAGCGAAACAAATTGATCAGCAAACGTAACGAATTGAGAAAGTCTAGAAATCTCAAGTACGATCAAATCAAGAAGTTAAGAGCTGACTTCAATGCAGAATTTGCAAAGTTCAAGGAGCAGTTGGCGGAAGAGCAGAGGAAGAGGGATGCCGAGCATAAGGCTATGCAAGAGGAAGAAAAGAAATTGCAAATCAAGGAGGAGGCGAAGAGAAGATTAGAGGAGGCTTCTGTTCCCGCTTTTACCGAGGAAATCAACGAAATTCACGGTTTGTTGCTGTACTTTGACTCAAGCTACAAAAAGCCGCAAAAAAATGCTGTGGCTGAAGCTACGAAGCTGGAATTTACTTCAGAGTCATCGGGCAGAAAAATTGAAATGCCCGAGGGCGTGGAGGTATTGAAGAAAGAACAGCAGCCTTTCTTCCAGGGCTCTGGTGGAAAGAAGCAGAGGAAGAAGTCTTCTAAGCAAAAGAATTTCACGGTCGATCCCGATGTTATCGTATCTTTGTCGAACCTTTCCATCCAGTTGCCAGTAAAATCGGATGACGTTTCCACAACAGTGAATACCTTGAAGGAAACTTTGCAGGCATTGGAGGAGAAGCAGGGCGAGCAAACCGAAAAGAACATACAAAGAGCCAAAGAAGAGATTGCAAAGTTAGAATCTGAGGACGCTGAATGATTGTCATTCACCAGCATTGTTGAAATAGAAAGATTAAGTCATTGTCAATAACACATTATCATTTATCCTAAATTAATTCCATAAAATAGGCATCGCGAATGTTCAACAAAAGGGATCAAGATGTTGTGCTCGTACCGTCGATAGACTGGTCAGACAATCAATATAAGAGAAATCGCAAAGGATATTTAAAAAAGAAAAAATCCATCGACACATTCTAAAAACTGTGCTTAGACAACGGAACAAAAGAACTGGTATTCATCTTTCAGGCATGGAATTGAGACCACAGCAATGGCAGCCTGAAGCACGCCAAATATAATTTGGGGCGACCAAGTTCTGAGACAAAGACCTCGTATGGTGCACAGACAAACCTAATTGAAGTGATAAAGTTCAAACCGAGACTTTTTTTTTTTTTTTTTTTTTTTTTTTTTTTTTTTCCAGAGGGGGGGAAGGCCAAAAAATGAGACTTTTTTTTTTTTTTTTTTTTTTTTTTTTTTTCTCCAGAGGGCGTGAAGGCTAAAAACGCAATTGATTTTTTTGCCCCAGGCGAACATCAACATCCTGCACTACTCGATGGAGTAGTACATATAGGCAAAATGGGAGATGAGATATCACATATTAACTCGAGAGTCTAGATCAAGCCATGAGTGTGTCCTTATGTATACCTTCATCAGCTATCAGACCCTCTAATGTTTGCAATTTAGCGCATGCTACTGCTGTTGCACACCAGATTGCAAGATTATCGGCCATATACAACGTTAATGAGATAGTTGTTTTGGATATTCCACTTTCTAATCAGATCAAGGCTGCAGCAGAAGCCACCATATCTGCTTCCTCTGAAAGCTCCAAAAAGATTGTTTTCAATCAACTAGAGAACAATGCTTGCCAAGGTATTATGCCTGAGAAAGGCCATGATGCTGTGCTTTTAGCCACTTTACTACAGTACTTCGTGACACCGCCATATTTGGTTCGCAGCTTATTCAAATCATCCGAACGATTAAGCTTGAAGCATGCTGTAAAGCTTCCTAGCATTCGTACGTTTATCACGCATCCAACAGACGCTTCCAAGAACTATATAGAAGGCTTGACCATTCCTAAAAAAACTCCAAAGGTGGCAAAGAAATCGAAAAAGACGGCTTCAAAAAGAAAATTGCAAGTGACCAAGTTTGTAAACATTGGACGAGAGAGGCCATTCGAATTGAAAGGACAGGAAGTTCCTGTAAACGCCAGAGTGACAGTGGACCTTACTAGTGGAACAGTCGTGAGCCCTCAGGTTGCTTATGGGGCAGCCGGCTGTAATAGTGCTTTTGGCTATTCCGTTAGGTATGCTAACTCCATCTCGGCTGTCTACACTGAACTGGGTGTGCCTGGTGGCTATACGGAGACTGCTTTTGTTGAAGCCGATGATTATTTTCTGAAGGGTCCGACAAAGGCTATTCCCAAATATAATAAAAAAAGTGCTGGGACCACACTTTTGCTCGTCGGCAAATGGTTTGACTTTGAAGCTTGCGCGGCTTCTGACGACAACATCTCAAGTATAATGGATGTCATTGACTGCGAATTGGTCGTGCCAAGAGGTATTAGAATTGAGGATGCAGCATTTATAGCGTTGGCTAAATTTTTCGATACATGAGTTTTTGATTTAGGCGGTTCTAAACGAGTCCAACTAAGTTTGTTCACTGCCTGGAATAGTCGTACCATTGTCGCGGTAACGATTCCACTTATGGACCGTGCGATAATACCTTTGTATTACGAGTTGACAAGTTTAAAAATCTGAGAGCTTGAAATGAATTGCTCAAGTGGATAAGAGATCAATAAGACCTAATGCAGAGTGATAAGCAAGTCCACTGCAAATCTTTAGTGTGAGAATTCACAAACATCTAGACCCAAACTATTGACACGTGAGCGTTCCTAAAAATAAATTTTCGCATTTGTTTTGCTTTTAAAACCACCTTTTCCGCTCCTTCTCCCTTGTTTTTTTTCTTACTATAGAGTTGATGAAGATGCAATTCAAATACTTGGTGGCTGTATCTGCGTTGGTGTCATCAGTGGCAAGTCTTGGCGACGTATGTATATGGATCTTTTTTGATGGTAACAATAGTGAACAATGACTAACTAGTTAGTTGGCATTCAGCTTGGGTGTTAAAGACAGTGCTGGTAATTGTAAGTCGGCTGAAGAGTACAAAAGTGACTTCGATGTTTTATCCGGACAGTCCAAGGTTGTGAGAACTTACGCTGTCTCTGATTGCAACACATTGCAGATTTTGGGACCAGCTGCGGAAGACTCTGGGTTTCAGGTTATGTTTGGTATCTGGCCCACCGACCAAGCACACTTTGATGAAGAGAAGCAGGCTTTGAAGGACTATTTGCCCAAAATCTCCAAACTGACTGTTAAAGTTTTCACTGTGGGTTCAGAGGCCTTGTACAGAGATGACATGTCTGCGTCAGACCTTGCCAACGCCATTGATGAGGTCAAGCAGTTACTTTCTGAGATCAAAGACAAGAATGGCGAATCCTATGGTGACGTGCAAGTTGGTACAGCTGACTCGTGGAACGTTTTGGTTGATGGTGCAGCCCTCCCTGCAATTAAAGCAGCCGATTTCGTGTTCGCCAATGCTTTCTCTTACTGGCAAGGCCAAACGAAGGAGAATGCCTCTTATTCTTTCGTTGACGACATCATGCAGGCTTTGCAAACCATCCAAACCGCAAAGGGCTCCACTGATCTCAGCAACTTTTGGGTGGGCGAGACTGGCTGGCCCACCAAAGGTACTCATTTTGAGGCAAGTGAACCAAGTGTTGAAAATGCTAAGGATTACTGGAAGGAGGCAATCTGTGCCATTAGAGCTTGGGGTGTGAATGTTTGTGTTTTTGAGGCCTTCGACGAGGCGTGGAAACCAGACAGCTCCGGTACAAGTGACGTAGAGAAGTACTGGGGCGTTTGGGATGCAAGCTACAACCTCAAATACCCCTTGTCTTGTGAGTTTTAAAAGTATAGCTAAAAGTTGATTTACTTAGTCAAGCTACAAAATGTAACGTTTGGTATTCTCATGCATTTGTGAGTCAACAATCACTAGTGAATGTCTTCCGATAACCGAACGCCAACCTGCTGTAGACTAATCGAGGCAAAATGAATATTAAATGTTAGTCTCTCACTTTCCATCTTAATCCAAGCCGTACGCTGATCAGGCTCAGGAGGATATTTCCGCAACTGTGCAGTGCGTTGACTGCACATGGTAGACGTCAGTAAAATCCATGGGGTCGAGATACGCCTTCATTACTTACATACATACTTCATGAGCGTATCCTTGGGACTTTTCTTGAGTCTTCTTGCAATATCAGAAGTTGATTGCACACCGTTATCACCACCAGACTTTGATGGCAAAATGGTACATGCTTTGTCAGGGACGAGCAATAGGGGCACTGTTCTCTTCATTATCGGTATCGTTGCGCTCTCAACAGTCCTACTTCTGGCACTTTTGATAGCTACGATAATTGTGTTTCGTCGAGTGGGCCATTTGAATGAGGAAAGTTTCAGTCGTGAAGAAGAAAACCAAGCCTACTTAGAGTTGAATCTGGAGGAGCAAGAGCTTTACTTCCAATCAAGAGAGTATCTTACAACCAACCCATACTTTAGAGGTGATCTCTTGCTCAGTCAAAACCTAAGTGTTCAAGAAAAGGGTATTCGTGCTTGGGAATTTGTCAAAGATTACATGTTAACGAACAACGATCTACTCATCGTGAATCGTTTTGAGCTCAACTTTTTTAAACACTTCGAATGTTCCACACAAACTAATCTACCTATGCCAACGACTAATGAAGTTTACTATTTTGAGAGTAAAATTTACTCCTTACCACATCCAGAGGATACGCTAATATCTATAGGTCTCGGTGTCAAGCCGTACCCATGGTTCCGCTTGCCTGGAAGACATGCTCACTCTGTAAGCTATGATAGTAATGGTTACAGGAGACACAATCAACCATTTCTTCCAAGTGGAGAGCCACAATTTCCAAAATTAATCGAGGGAGATGTCGTTGGAGTTGGCTACCGTGTACGGTCTGGCACTGTTTTCTTCACACGCAACGGGAAAAAGGTAAGTGAACTGAAACTTGGAGGGCATATCAAAAACTTCAAGATTCCCCAAGATGGGCAAATTTATCCGATAATAGGTGCTAATAATCTTTGCTCTGTGCATGTCAACATTGGCCAGTTGGGCTATGTTTTCATCGAGGGCAATGTTAAGAAATGGGGATTTGCTCCTTTGGAGGGCAACGGTCCAGCTCCACCAGCATACAAGAAGTTCAATGCCGATATTCTCTTAGAGCGGTCAGAAATAGATGACGAGAACGACTTGAATGAGAGGGAAAGCGATTTCCCCCCTGATTTTTGGCATGTTGAGGGTGGCCCAGAGATCGACACTGTTAATCATGATAAGTTTAGTTACAATGCCTACGGCGATGAACCGTCTGAAGACGAGCGCATAACTATGGATAGCCTAATACCGTCAAAGCCCCCAAGTTATAACGCTGAAAATACCAGCCTGAATGTCGAAGGTGAAGCTGGAGATCAACTGCTTAATGATGAAGCAGTTGAGCACAATGCTTGAGATTGAACAATCGTGAGCTTGAGATAGAGCTTTTGAGGGTGTGTTCTTTGCATGTTGGTGTAAGATATATTAAATGGTAATAGATGGTAGAAATCGGTTATTTACAGCTTCTGTAAGTATTTGATGCTAAACTTACGAGAGCAGGTTTTCCCCGTACTGGTCGGCTGCAGGCAGCGGCTTCAAGCTCCGTGAACTCGAAGATGTTTCCGCGTCGAAAACCTGCGTCCCAACTTTTGTGTAGGATTCCCCACAATGTGCTGTTCATCACGAACTGGCCACAGAGAACCTCCTATACTGTTCTAGCTGGATGAAGAATTGAGCTGCTTCTACTTCTTTTGCTTGATTTCAGAAATAAACCCTTTTGACACCCACTTAGTCAAAACTCTATGCCTTCTTATATCTGTGGTGAAGCAAGCCACGACATGGAAGCTGAGACATTGATCGTCTCGAATGGCACGAGATATCAAACGCAATTGAACCTCAACCACATCATCAAAATCAACAACAATGACACCTCCATCCTGGCTACTAGGCTACGCATATATACGTACAAAGAATGGATTTCGCTTTTGAGGAAAGGGAAGCTCGAAGCAAAGATTGTTGACACCCCCGTAACCAAAAATGAGGTCGTATTTATGTTCTTCGATGAAGTTGAGAGTATTGGGGAGCTTCTATGTGAATTGAAGAGTTTGTACAGTTCAGTGGCGACTGACGCCAATGATGGACAACCCGAACTTCAGTACGAAGCGCTGCTTTATTTTGAAGCCTCCTCAGCTAGTTGTCGAGACCCTCAACTATCCCGGACAGGAAAGTCCCATTCATTTCTTCTGATGCTCACAATGGCTCATGATATAATTGAAGGTTTAGCCCCTGTTTTGCATCGCATAAAGGGAGTTTATTTGGACGATAGAGATCTACTGGGAAGCAGGGAAATCCCGTTGGTTAAATTTTTGCGAAACTTTCCGACAATAGAAAACATTGTATTAAGAAGTCGCCAAGCAGATATGATTCTAAGCCCATACTTATGAGAGACTGCTTATAGCTTACATCTTATCAGTGAAAAATTAGATAATTCTCAATGAGCTCTAAGCTAGTTCAATTTAACATAGTTTGAAGGAAACAAGCCAATCTCCCCAGTGGACGAGTTTTTGCCTGACCACCAGCTATCATCTACGAATTCGATATCAACGATCAAATCTCCCTCGTCGAAGGCGATTTCGTTATCCTCATCCTTCTCGTAAGCAAATTCTGCTACAGCAGTTTTCGATCCATCTGCAGCAACAGTTTGACTTTCCAGGATTGCATCAGCTTCTTCACCAGTAGAATCTTCAGACAAGGTTACATAGGAGGCAGGGAATAGTCCCAGCTCCCCAGTCCGCTTGTTTTTCCCAGACCACCACTCTTCATCAACAAACTCAATGTCCACGATTATGTCATCTTCCTTAAATTCGAGCTCATTATCCTCATCCTTGTCATAGTCATATTCTGCCTTAGCTGAATTAGCATTCTTGGTTGCAGCTGCAGAACTCAAAGTCTGCAGCTTATTTGGCGTTGCGACGGGTCCATCCTGTGGTTTTGCTTCGTCAGAAATTGCAAGTTTCTCAATTTTCGATTCAATTTGAACCTTATCGTCGTCATCTTTCAGACTAGTCAAACCATGCTCGTTGCTCTGCTTGGTGTCATTTTCGAGACCTTCGTCATCTTCGTCAACTTCCTCAGCGCCCTCAGCGCCTGCATCATCACTGCCGTAGTTTTCGTTCTCTGTTTTGGGTAAATCGTCCTCTTCAGCCTTCACATCTTTGTACATTCCTTTTTTCTCAGCCCACAATTGAGCTGGGGTTTTACCACCAGATGACCCAAAGTCTCTCGATAACCCTCCTACGACCTTATCGTTTGGCTTCGAGTTGTTAAGGGGTTTTGCTCCGAAAGTGGCACCAGAAGCAGTTTTGGTCGCAGCGGTATAACGCGAGGCAACAGAACTACCAACCTTGGGTTTGGGTAAAGCTGTGAGTCTACCATCCGATGGCTTTTCGGATGAACCCACAATTTCGGAACTTGAATCTGACTTTTTTGATGACACAGTATCAGACTTCTGTTTTCTCAATTCCGCAATGTTCACCTTTGTAGGCTTGTACGCCGATGGCACATCTTCTAAAGGCTGCTTTTCCAAATCGCGTTCTTCAAGCTCTTGTTCTCCGGCCCATCCATCATCCTCATCAACAGTGCTTTTAGAGAGCTCTTTGGATGAGGGCTTTGAAGTGCTCGAAACTGTTGGCTTTGCGACCGGTTTGGGATTCGCTGGCTTAGGGCTAATCTTGCTGCCTGAAATTGAGTGTCCAGCAGCTTTTGTTGTAGCAGACTTGCCAGATCCTGACGAAGGGGCTGAATGAGCAGTATACCTAGCACCAGCTGCTGCCGCCACTCTGCTGACAAACTCCTCCACATCCAAGTCATCGTGGTCGCGTGCCGTTATTTGAACGTGGTAACCACTCAATACCTTGGAAACATCAGCAAAGTTTGCGGCGTAAGACAATCTGGACTTAGCGGGGGCGTTGTCGGGACACCAGCCAAGTAACAAATTTTTGCTAACATCGGAGCCAGGAACTGTTACTTTAGCCAAACCAAATTGCACGATTCCGTCGGAAAATTCCTCAACAAAGTCCTCCAATGGACCCGTGCTCACATTCGATACTTCAAGCGTACCATTCTTGTCCACAGAGAAGACGCTGTAAGTGGCACCACCGTCACCACGAACAACTTTCTCGTAGGCTTGCTTTATGGAGCTAGAGTTCGTTGAAATGTCAATTCTTTCCATGTTGGTCTTGATCAACAAGGAAGTTAATTCGTTTGAGGCTACGTAACGGATAGAGCGCCGAGCAAGACCGGTATAAGACACGCACGCGAATTGGAGAGGGCACCAGCTTTACATGCCGAATCCCGAGGGACTGTTTCAAACCTGAGCTACAATTATATAAGAATTTCTATTCCCAGCCCTCTTTCAGCTACATAAACCATTCTCAGTATACATATGCAAACGCAAACCGAAACGAACGTTTACAAGCTCAGCGAGCTTGAACCAATTGATCCTTGATAAGCTCCAGCAGTGTTCGTGTGGACACCTCTGATTAGTTTCTCTTAAAAAAAAAAAAAAAACAAAAAAAAAAAAAGGTGACGAACTCTAATGTGCTAGACTTCCGGTTGACAAGGAACATCCCAGGAGGTCTTGAGTCCAATCTCCTCATGCCAGACCAATTATTGAACCAATGCAAATGTAAAGCACCACATCATGACAAAACCAGGCAAATTATTGAAAATTGCATCAAAAAATATTTGCTTTATCGGAGATGTGAAGAATTTATGCGGATGACCTTCACAACACAATATATAAAAGACACTGTTCGCCATTAATGTTCCAACAGTGTAGAAAAGAAATCCAAACGTGGTTTCCAAGCAAAGTATGCCACACCCAACCCCCAAGGCAAGAGTTGTTATATCTTGGTATCTTTGTAGCTTCTCTTTATTCAGATGCTCATTTGACGCAGAATGAGTGATCGCGTTCATGTCAAATAGAGGTGACCATTTGGCTGAATGGCAAATAGATCTGAGATACATCAAGTCAAATCACGTGACACAATTGCATGCGTCTGATCAATATTAGGGATGGTGATTAGATTGGCCACCGGTTAAAGAAGCTCCATTTTTTTATTTTTGCAACCATTCAGAAGTCTCAAAACTTTGACTTCAGTAACCGTACCAGCACGGTAAATAACATGCATGAGAATTCTATCACAGCTTTGCGACGGTTTCTTTTTGATCTCCCTGCTAGACTGAACTTCTCGTTAACTGATGAAATCAAAGTCGAACTTCGAAAGCAACTATTTAAGACCGTATCATGTGGAGGGGTTTACTTGAATCTTTTTTTCCCTGAGATCTTCGATCTTTCGGGGGACGACGTTCACAATCAATTGGATAGTGTGGTTCAGTGGCTGCTCATCAAGTACACAGCTCACGTTGCCAAACAACTGTCAACAATCGAGGGAAGAAATCATCACGCTTATCATACAGCTCTGCCATGTGCTCGTGTTTTCCGCAGAGGCGAGCCAATCTACAAATGTCTTACTTGTGGTTTCAATGATACATGTGCCATGTGTGCAAATTGCTTTCAAGCGGAGAGCCACGAAGGGCACAACACTAGCGTTTCGATTTGCGTTAGGGAAAACGGCGGTGTTTGTGATTGCGGTGATCCCGAGGCATGGGTAAATGATTTTCGTTGCGTGTATCATGAAACCAACGAGTCCTTTGAGAAATTAAAAAACATGACACCCAGTCTAGAACTTCAAACAACACTTACTGATACCGTTGGAGCAGTATTGGATTATGTGATCGATGTTATGTGTCAGAGCGATCAACAGTTCAACTCAGCTCAAGAATCAGACGCGAAGCACTATTCACAAGGTCATGACCTCGATCCGCTAAAATATGGATATTCTGATAGCGACAAGACTGATGAGCTTTCACAGAAATTCTCGCTCATAGCCTACAATGATCAAGTCAGACACTTTCGAGATGCGGTGCAAAGAATCCACCTAGCGAGCAAAAAAGTTCCGGAATTTGCAGAAATGGTCGCCAAGCGTATTCAAGATCACGGGAGAGCTACAGTTGTGAGGTCAAGAGAGCCTAACTTGTTATTCGAGCGTCAAAGGCTTCTTAGTGCTACTGGTTTATCCTCCTGTATTAGAAATGCACGAGATGAGTTTAGGGAGGAGATTTGCTTTGAAATCATTCAATGGCTCGAAAGTCTATCCTCCTGTGATCTTTTAAAAGCAAATGAGCCCTTGAGGAACTTATTTTGCGGAGCATTTTGCAAGAGATGGGAGCGTGGAGTACGCCTCACTCATTTACCGGATCGGCATGAACGAGGTCTGGCCCAACTTGATTTTAACCTCAACATCCCGTCCTTAAAGGAAGTTGATACCATGCACCCGCTTCCTTGGGAACACATAGAGCCACTTTGCCACGAATGCGGATATAGTGTCTTCGATACACGGGGAGCCGGCCATATAGGTTCAAGATTGCAATACCTAGCATATCTCGACATCCGATTTTGGAAGGCTTTTAGGTTGGCTCTACACACCATGTATGCAACTACGCTCATCACTAATTTGAAATGGAAGGGAATGATCTGTTACCAATACTGTGACATTTATCCCTTCATTGCCGAGATGTTCCTCAATTTAGATGGTGATCCCGAAAATAATGTCATGTGTACTTTGTCATGTCAATTGTTTGTATCACCATCGAATTCGAATGCTCTTTTATCGCATGGTGATGTTGCGAGGATTTTTGGCACCGTACTTCTGTTTTTGAAGAGCGGGCGCACACATTCAGCAGCTCTCAGTGCAAACACTGATATATCACTAAACAGTTTGAAGAACAGAAGATGGGGTCAGTTATTTTTCGATATTGGATATATTGTCTCAAGAGGTCAAAATAGCGATGTTTCGCTCACTGATTCTATGGTCCCCATGACTTGTGAAATATTGGCCTTATTTCAAGGAAAGCCAACAATGAAGCGGGAGACCGAAAGTCACGTTGAGTATGAGAGCTCAGACTACACCGCATATTTCCATGCTATCCCGATAATATATCAATTAGCAGAGTATGTTACGCAATGCCTAAAGATTGGAGAGGCCCAAAATCGCAAGGAAGAAATATTCCAGAGCGCCATCAGACACGTTGTTAAAGTCATTCTTCAGCTAGAAAATCTGCCTTCTTTAAGGGCAGACCATAATGAAGTGGATTATGGCATCTTCTCGAAATCACTTAGAAGCAAGCAAAAAGACGCAAACAATCCTGTGGTCAGTTTTCTCCATCCTTTGCATCTGTTCCTATCATGGCTCATTGAATATGCTTCATTCAAAGACAGTGACGAATTGATTCGTTTAATCCATGACGCCTCGATAAATGCTACGAATGATAATTCGGTCGAGGCCTTGGAGAATAGTCTCACATGCATATTTCATTATCCGGTTCAATCAATAGTGTTAGCTGCCCAAGTGAAGACAGGTTTTTGGGTGCGAAATGGTTTCAGTGTCAAAAACCAGCTTCAGCTTTACAAAAGTACTGGCCTTAGAGAGCAAGGGTATTTGCGAGATGTGTTTTTGACACAAATTTATCTAATATGTCACGATGTTGATAAGGCGGTCGAAACAATATTGCGATTGTGGCTACTAGAAGATGACTTTTCACCTGAACTGGGGTGTCCGTACGATTCATCGACCTTGCCATATATTCTTGATGAGTGTTTAAGTTTCTTTCTCCACATACTCACAGAAGGACTTTTCATGAGAAGTCTCACGGTTGATGAGATAACGAGGGTGAAAATTGAGGATGAGATAATCCATCAATTATGTCTTGGTTCTATGAATTACACCAAGTTGTGTTCACAAATTCCTGAACACATTGTTTCGGAGAGATTCTTCGATTCTACTCTTGAAAAGGTGGCTCTGTTCCGAAAACCAACTTCTGGGAAAGAATCTGGTACTTTTGTTTTGAGAGACGAGTATTACAAACGGGTCAATCCGTACTACCATAATTACTCCCTGAATAAGAGGGATGAGGTGCTAAAGCTCATGAAAGAACGAGTAACGAGAAGCTCACAGCAATCATTGATCGATGTGGTAATTGAGCCTGCGCATGCAAGCCCTGGCAGAGCAGGTATATACCACTCACTTGGCAGGTTTACTTCATCACAACATTTTGTCAATTTTCTTGTAACTTGTCTACGATACGTTTTGATGGAAGGATCTCGTAAGCTAGACGCCTTACTCGACACGTTGCTCCACGTGGTGCATACTTGTGCATCAGAGCAGTGGAACGAGCTGAGGGCTGACGAGTCCTTCTGTCAGAGAGCCGTGGGAACAGATATTGGGCTGCTGTTGTCCTTGGCATCAACTTTGTACAATCTCCTTCTTCATGATGATGTGAAGGAACATCATGCTAAAGTAAGAGCGATCTTCAGATGTTTACACACGAGCGTCGATAATTTTCTTCTGCAAATGGAAAGACAAGTACCAAATTTTGACTTGAAGCTCCTACATGCCCCTGGTAACAATATGGTGGAGAACGACTCGGAAAGAAAGAAGCGATTAGCAACCCGCAGACAAGAAAAGCTTATGGCGAAGTTCAAAAAACAACAAGCGCTGTTTGTTCAGCAAAACGACTTACTTAATGACTGCAGTGACACCGAGATGGAGGATGCTGATGAGGATGGCTGGAAGTTTCCAACGTCTCATTGTATTCTCTGTCAAGATACAGCCAAGGATGCTGGGCCATTTGGCTTGATTGTTCATGTATCGAGATCATCTGAGTTCAGAGAAATTCCATTTGAGGACGACTATTGGTTAATGAAAGCGTTCTCGGGCAATGCTAACTTAGATCGAGATGAGAAGCATACTTACCCTGAAGCGAAGACACAGGCTTTCAAAGATTTTATGAAAAATGTGGAAGAAGGTTCTGTCATTGGCCCAGGCTTCAAAAATGATGGAAATGTTAGCAGCAAATTGGTTTCTCTGACCTGCGGTCATGGAATGCATTTTAATTGCTATATTCAATTTTTGGCGAGTAACCGTTCGAGATCAAACCATATTACCAGAAACACTCCCGATAATATTGAGCACCGAGAATTTTTATGTCCTCTTTGCAAAGCGCTCAATAACATGTTTGTCCCAATTTTATGGACCGCTAACAATCGATCATTGAAAGACTTTCTACTCCCTCCGCCGTCGAGCTTGAATGCGTTTGATGATTTGCTGAGAAACAAATTACACGACAAGAGTTGGTTCCACACATTCTGCAAAGCAGCCTCCAACGACTTGCAAGAGTATGCTATTCTCACCAATGTTGCGAGAGATATTATAGGCCAAGATTCGGACTCACTTTCATCCACTGGGCAGCAACAATTCCGCATTCTTCTCTCTAATATGTTTCAGATCTTGTCACTTTTGACATTTCCGCAGATATTCAAGGCGGATTCTTCCAATATTCTTGTGAATACTATCAAGGCTACAGAAATCAGCTTGCGAGGAGTTTGTGACAGTTCCGGATTGGTCTATCATCAGATAAGCAACAATGCTTTAATCAATTTAAGAGCTTTAAACGAGTTCAGGATTACTAGTCTCATGATGAAAACATCGAATTGGGTGAAGAACTCTCATCAGAAACCGGACACTCATGTAAAGATTCTCGCGAACTTGCTAACACTATCGGCCGAAAATTTTAATAAGTCAATACTCCAGCATGATTTCTTGGAGATTCTTGTCAATGTCTTTCCAATGCCAGGCGCTGGCTTCTCCTTTCACGAAATTTTACGGGCGTGCTTCATTGGCCATGTGATACAAACTTTGAATATTCTTTCCACAAAAATCGAGGAGAAAGGTTTTTTCAATAATGATGTGATTTCAATTTTAGATATCCCATTCTCAGAGATGATAGCTCCCGATGATGCCCGCACTGTGTTTCATTTATTCAAAGCTTTGCTTGAACCTGGCTCGCTTAGAAGGCTAAGCAGTGCCATCTCATCAGAAATTTTAGGGTATGTTCTTTACTCGATGTTGCTCAAGAGTGTTACGCCATTTTTGCGTCAATCTACGATCTTTGCATTTGTGAACTGTCACTTCGATAGTGGGCCTAACGAGGAAAGTGAGAGCTCGATATTCGAGGCAGACAAATTGTGTGCTACGCTAAAACTCCCAACTCTAAGCGAGTCTTTGAGAAGCTTCTGCCATTATAGCTCGGAATCTTCTCTTGAGGCGAGACGATTCCGATCTTTCTTAGCCCATCTCCATCATGAGAGGGATTCAAACGCAATGCTTGAAAGACGGACAAGTTTAGAGTATCCTGGAGTTATCCTGCTTTTACGCTTGCCGGTGAGATTGGATGATTTTTTCACACAATACTATTATCTGGAAAAGTTTGATTTTCCTCATTTATCTATTGAAAATCCGGCAGTATGCATGTTTTGCGGTGATGTATGCGATTTACAACGAACCACGCTAGGAAGTCGGGATGGTCAATGCACTACACATTATACAAAAAAGTGCCAAAATAGTGTTGGCATTTTTCTTTTACCAAAAGACCGCTCAATTTTATTACTCAACAAAAACGGGGGATCATTTCATGCAATTCCGTACATCGATCTGCATTTTGAAGTGGCTGGCGATAATAAAAAGACAAGAGCTGTCTACCTACTGCAAGATCGGTATGACGAGTTTGTCAGATCGTTATGGCTTCAGCATAACATTCCGAATTATATCGTTAGGAGACTCGATGGCGTCATTGATGCTGGTGGATGGGAGACCTTGTGAATCATTAATCACTTGGGATCATGAAGTCTTCCAAAAACTCATCCTCATCGCCCTCAAAGATTTCATCAAATGTTGGTAAATCTGGTCGTAAAAATGGTGGTGGATGACCATCGAAAAAAAGTCGAGTGACAAAACCATAGAGACCACAATTCAACCAAAGTTTATTGATATGTGTATACCTCATGATACTGAGAGACGCCTTCCCCTGAACACCACGGCGTTTGATTTCACCATGTATTGTGAGGTAAGGGGCAGGAATTTCGGCGTTGAGGTGGGTGATATCAATCTTTATAACCATCTTTAAGGTATTTTTGCTCGGAGTGAAATATAGCGACATAAACGAGCATTCTTGGTAGTGAGATAGAATTTGCCTTGAGTTGAGATATTTTCCACAAGACAAGCAAATAGAATCTGCTTGAGCTTTCCTAGTCTTGAATATGGGGTCAACGATGCATGTGTTGTAATCACTAGGGATTTCTATCAACGAAATTCTTCCCGGATATTCTATTAATGTTCGGCCTTCAGTTTTCTCCTCACGATATTGTGCCAAGGTATAATTTTGTGCAAACTGAGCTGCAAACTGCCATTTAGTACTTGATGAGTTTAAATCTTTTATGAGATTTGTAATTGTAGGGAGATCGAAAAATGAACACAAGACATCAAAGACAGAATTTTCTTCAGCTTTGTCTAACTCCACATTTAACTTCCTTATCTTTTCACTCGTTTCGTAACCGTTCTCTGACTGGATAGCAGTGAGGAGATCCCAGAAAATTGTGCACTGCCGCAAGTAGACAGCTGCGATTTGTGTCAACGAATCGAGGAAAAATTTCTCAAGTTTCTCTCGCTCGACGTGTTCGGTAATGATCCCATCTTTGAAACTTTCGAAGAGGTTTCCAAAGTAGGTTCGAAAATCATCTTCAATGTGATCATCGTAACTCTTGGAGAAAGTCTGAAGTTTGGCAAAGTCAAAAGAATTGGACTTAATGATATTCATCAACTCGAAACTCAGAGCAACAATTAGCTTCACGTAACCTTTTTGAATATAGTCTAGGGCAGGTCCGTAGCCATTAAGATATTTCATAATGACCTCAGTGAAGATTGAGGATTCTGCAATATCGTGAGGATCAGCGATTTTGTCCAAATGCTGGGAGGCCATGATTGCGTGATGCTGTAGAAGGGAGATAACAGTGCACCGGAATTGGGAGGAGGTCTGATTAAGGAAATTGCGGAGTGAGCAATTCCCATCAACCCTAGAAGCTATCTCATTTCCCCGTATTGTGTCTGCAATTAAGCGAGACAAGCTGAGAAGATTGTCATGGGGACGAGAGTGCGCCTCTGTAAAGAACTTGTCGAGGCTCTGGAAAAGGACAGGTATCATTTTCTTCAAGGGTTTGGCATCTTCAATCCAGTAGTCTTCACTCAAAAGCCTTCTAGCCAAAAGAGTACAATTTTTTTCACCCAGCCGTAACAGAGTTTCGAGAATGCCCTCTTGCAGAAGTGTTTCACCATGCTTTAGTTTGACAGGCATGATAAAACTAGGAAGAAAGAAATGATGCACGTTATGGCATAACAGACAAGGAAATAGTGGCATACGGAGCTGTTGGCGAGTGAAGCAAGCATGGTGAATACCATGACCACAGGAGGAAGCCATCGTTGCTGAGATCTGCTTAAAAAGACCCTCCTCTCTCATTTTCTTATATGGATATCCCGCGGAGTAGATGCTGCCTTCTTCCCTCGGCAAGTTGGCATCATAACCTGCAAAAGCAAGTCGTGTGAACTCGTCTTCGAACGGCGGAACTTTCCAAAACGTTGAGTTATTAGTAAGACAGAGTAATATTCCGAATAATTCTTTGGATGATTCGGGCTCTCCACAAACAACGCAATGTCTTATGTTGGGGTTTTCTTGTGAAGTCACGGTTTCACCAACCTCATTCTTCGCCAGAAATGACTGCTGTTGTTTTGCTAGCTTTTTCATAATTTTTGCCTTGCGCCTCTCAGCTGCACTTTTGCGCTTATCTGACAGATGGAACTCGCCTAATTTTCGCTTCTTGTAGTGTTGAATATGACTTTCTCCAAAACAATCTAAAAGACTTTTTGTAACTCGATCATCCATATCTATGAGCTTTGTTAGCAAATGATCTGCCTTCACTGTCACAGCACTAGACATAGATGACTCAGCAATGGTAAGGAGAAGATCGCATATGGGTATGTCGATGTAAGTATCAAGATGTTTCTTCATTGTTTCACTAGACTGTACATCCACAAGGATTGCGTGTAGAAAGTGTAACAACTGTTGAATGTAAATCTCCTGACCTGAGTCTATCGATTCTCGCATGAGCTTATACATGAGTTTTGCAAACTCCCTTGTCGTGAAAAAGCTCAGAAATTTTTCATTTACTTGCCCGCAGCTAGCTGAAACAAACTTGGGTTCAAGGACAACCTCATTTTCCTTGATCTTCCTCGACTTAGAGAGGTTTTTGATTAAAGACTCTGCAACAGACTCAAACCTACTCAGATCAACACACGAGCTTAGTGGGTCTAGTTGCTCATAATATTCAGGCTTGAGTCTGTAAACTCCAGAGTCAGTTATTCCTGACGGACTTTGCAAAAGTGCACACTTTTGCAAATGGATTTCGAAGTCACCAACATCGATATCATCTCCGTCAAACTCTGTGATCAAATCACTAAATGATTTTGGTTTGTCACAGAGAGAGTAACAAATTCTTCTGACAAACATATCTGGACCTTCCAGATGCTGTGTTTGAAATAGCGAACGGTCGGTAAAGATGTGATATAATACCTTGATGAGCTGCTCACATGCGTAGCTGAATCGATCTTCGTAGACAGTTAGCTCAGAGCCTACTTCCCCACTATACCATTCCTCTAACTCCCAGAGGTCAATGATCATCTTGAGGACAACTCGTGGATTAGCAAACACCAATGCAGTTTGTAAAATGTGCAAGTCTCGGGAGTAAGCTAACTCACCCAACGAGTAAACACCAGCAGCATGAATATATTGCATGTCCCTGAAGTAGGATAACTCTTTCAAGGAATATTCGCTGTAATATGACGCCTGACGAGACACCGATGAGCCATTCCTAATCCAAAGACCAATTTTGACTTGCGAATTCAAGACAATGCTTTTCAAAGAGGTATCAGTCAAGTGCAATAAGGCTAATTCATGAAAGCCGATAGTTTCCGCCAAGTCGCTAACAGGAGTAGCTTGAATCAAGCGGGAAGCAAATGCATTGATTGGGTTTATCAATGAAATTGGGTTCACACTGACTTTTGAACTGGGTTTACGGGAAGTGCTTCCCATGTGTTTGCTATAAAGTGCAAAAAACTTCTTGAGCACATCCGATATTCCGACTGAAGGATCTGCGAGTGTAGCGCATTTGGTGATGAAATATATCGGAACAGATCTTTGTAAAAAGATGAGCACATCCTTCAACAGTTCCTGCGAAACATGTTCGCCAACCTTCCTCGTAATAGGTAGTGAACCTTGGTAGAACTTCATCAATGTGAGAAGCCAATAAAATGAATCGTCGCTCGAAATGCATGATAAAATGTCCGTGGAATCATTCTTGGCGAATATATAGGTAATATCATTGATGCACGAGCCAATTGCTTTTTCAATTGAGGACTTTTCTCTTTTGCTCCTCACATCGTAGACAATCTCCTTTATGTTTAAAAGCCCATTCGTGGAATTCTTTAGACTGGCAAAGTGTTCAATCAACCAGCAAACGGGTCCTAAGAGCCTTCCTAAACTTCTATTCTCAAGGACTCTCGCATTGGTTCTTGGGCAAGTGAGCAATTGAACCCTGATATGATCCATGCAAGATAAAGCCTCTTCCCTATCTGATAGGGCTGAGATTATTAAAAGCTGAGAGTACGCCTCGATATATTGGTCCGCAAATTGAGCCTTCGAAGCTTGTTCACCTCCAATCAAGGCGAGAAATATCTTTCGACAAAGCTTTCTAGTTCGGAGTGGGAATCGAATCTCAAAGTATAAGAGATACTGGAGGCGAGAATCGTGTCTCCTTTTAACTTTGTATGGTGTGACGAACCGGTCTATCAGTCGATCTAAAGAAAAATCAGGTTTAACTATCGAAAGAGGAGACAAATCGTCAAGAACTCCATCGACCACAAGACCACTTCTGAAGCACTGATCTGCTAACTGTGTGATTGAACTCGGAAACATCTCTGAAGATAAAGATTTGGAGAACTCATAGCTGGGCTTGAGTAGCAATATGCCGAGCTGCTTTTTGCATTCCTCACGGAAGGCACTGTTGGAAGAGAATGTGATGATGTCACAAACCCAGTTCAAGATTGCTCCAACAATCATTTCACGAACATAATCACGCCGTGACATGATTGTGCAGACCAACCCATCTGCCTCGGCCAGCTTTTGTGAGCTTAACAATGCCCTAGGTTCGGTTTCTTCCTTTAGCACTGCTCGGCCTGATGCATTTATAAGCCGTGCAATTTTCTCTGCAGCTGAAATAGGAAGCCCCGTTGCTGCTCGAATAGCAGTTTGAGCTTCATCGTAGTTGTGGTTTTCATCATTCCATAGGACGAGATACCAGGAGTCATATGTATTCTCATCAACTGACCCATACTTATGGAACGGTAACGCACCAAAGTCGGATAATTGACGCGTATCAAACACTCGTTGACCACGGTTTTCAAGATTGTCATGCACAAATGGAAGAGTGGAGATGGAAAAGTTCGTCACGTCGAGCACATAATCGAAAGCGGTATGAAGCGCATCATGGATGTACCCTCTAAAGTTTGTCTCAACATCCAAAGTGCCTTGACACGCACAATCAAGCTGACCCTTGAATGCGGTGTCGTCACCACAATCACACATGCCCTCGTTGCCAGATCCAGCGTAATATAGGGAAACATTGTGGTGAACGTGATCTTCCTTATTGAAGCAGTGACCACAGATGACGCATGTGTCATCATAACCACATTCTGCGCATCTGTAAATGGCATCACCTTCTTTGAGAGTGTAGCCACAGATCTGCTGTTTCGGATGGCTGTACTCTCCGGTTCCAGTATTCACGAAAAACGGCTTCTTCGATAGATGTTCGGTTGGATTCCATTTGAAGCCACCCAAAATTTCGGCGTGATCCTCGGCACTACCGGTGAAAAGCTCGCTAAAGTATTCGCCTTCACCAGTTATAGCCCAATAGAAGGCTTTATACACATTGACCTTAACTTGTCTATTATCCTTGTAGCAAAAGTGCGGCGGTAGCTCAACAAGAAACCTTTTTAAATCTTCCATCAGTACAAGATTATGAGTGAAGGATTTGAGTGAGATAGATCGGTAGTGCGGTAACGTTCAGATAGGTTCATGGGATCGCATGCAAAGTATAGGAAATCAGGCAAATCAACAAAAGTTGCATGACAGAAAAGAAAGCTTGACAATTCATACCCCATACAAGTCACTTCGAAGACGCAAACTTGAGTGAATCCCTGGACTCGAGAGTTTCGAAACAACAGAAAAAAAAAAAAAAAAAAAATGAATAAAACGAAATAAACGGGATTATGAACCTTCGATACGCCTTGCAGAGCGACTTATATGAAACGAAATTTTGATTTGCAGATCAAAACCAGCAGCTTTATTAGAAAAATCAAATTCCCAAGCATTTAAAACTCACAAGAACCAAAGGTACAAACCAGCTGAGGAGGAACCACACTATAGAAAGAACTTTCGAACCCAGTGCTATGACAACAATTACTAAGTTTTACAAAGAATTTGGCCAATCGCCAGCATTAATTCGTTTCATAGCGACAATGGTTGTAACTGTGACGTCCAGTATTTATTCGTAAATGATTTCGATCCAACTGAACAGAATTATAAGTTATGAGACCCTCGCCAGGATAGAATATCGGATTTAATAGTCGACTGAATATACCTGACGTAGCTTTCAGGCGGAGAGGAATTATCTAGATTCGAGTTGTTTGATTTTTTCTCCTGCCATTGGAGAAAGAAAAGGCATTTATCAATTTGCAGCCTATACTCATGTGGTGTACGGGTGCGTAATTGACCGGATTGACCGCTTGAAAAAAAATGTGATACGCTTATTGTAATTTGTATCCAATAGCTTCGATGAACTCCGAAGAGCAATTTGAGTTGATCACAAGAGGATTGCAAGAAGTCTTGAATCCTCAGATCATAAAAGATGTTTTAGAAAAGGAAAAGAGACCACTCAAAGTATACTGGGGAACGGCTCCAACAGGTAAACCTCACTGTGGGTATTTCGTTCCTATGGTTAAGTTGGGTCACTTTTTAAAAGCTGGATGTGAAGTAACTGTCTTGGTTGCGGATTTGCATGCTTATTTGGACAACATGAAGGCACCATTAGAAGTTGTTCAACACCGTGCCAAGTACTACGAGATGGTGATAAAGGCCATCTTGAAGTCAATCAACGTCCCAATTGACAAGTTGAAGTTTGTCGTCGGATCATCTTACCAACTCAATGGCGACTACACGATGGATATTTTCAAATTGTCCAATAAGGTTTCTCAAAATGATGCTAAGAGAGCCGGTGCAGACGTCGTAAAACAGGTCGCCAACCCTCTTCTTTCAGGACTCATTTACCCCTTGATGCAAGCTCTCGATGAGCACTACCTCGATGTTGATGCTCAATTCGGAGGAGTGGATCAGAGAAAGATTTTCGTGCTTGCGGAGGAGAACTTGACCGGCATAGGATACAAAAAGAGAGCACACTTGATGAACCCTATGGTGCCTGGTCTAGGGCAAGGTGGTAAGATGAGCGCTTCAGATCCAAACTCCAAGATTGATATCATCGAAGAGCCCAAAGTGGTAAAGAAAAAGATAGGCGCTGCATTTTGTGCCCCTGGCGACGCAGACAATGGTTTAATCGCTTTTGTGCAAAATGTGATTCAGCCAATCCATGAGCTCAAGACCGGAGTTACTGGATCTTTCGAATTTTTCGTCGATAGACCCGAAAAATACGGTGGTCCCATCCAATACGACACTTTGGATTCATTGAAGGAGGCTTTCATCAGCGGCGAGCTTTCTCCTGTCGACTTGAAAACAGGTGTGAGTGACAAGATTAACGAATTGCTCAAGCCCATTAGAGAGGAATATGACTCTAACGTTGAATTCCAGAAGGCTGCTGCAGACGGATATCCCGTTGAGGTGAAAGAGAAAAAGGTCAAGAAAGTCAAAAATAAAGGCAGCAGATACCCAGGTGGTCTGAAGGACGCCACCGTTGCTGACAAAGTTGAATCAACCACAGAAGCTTTGCAAGGTACGGGCTTGAATTGATTAGTAGGCAGAGTGCTTCATTGCGCGCTCGCTGTCTTTCGAGAGCTTACCATAGGAAATAGAATTTTATATACCTGATTGATTTTTATTCATTGGCCCAATCACGTTTCGCATTATACATACATCTTATCCAAAAAATTCAGAGCTGTAGGGTACTCACTAACATATAATGGTATGTTTGTTCAAAAGCCACACAAAGCAACTTCACCAGGATTCTTTTTATAATCATAAGAGTTGAAGACTGCTTATAGGCCCTCCATCATATTTGTCTATTTACTAACTCAAAAGTTGTCAGCATTGATCAAAAGAAACTCGCTCTACGTTGCAACTATCTTCGGAGGAGCTTTTGCTTTCCAAGCTTTCTTCGACTCCGCTGTGACAAGGTGGTACGAAAACCACAACAAGGGCAAGTTGTGGAAAGACGTCAAGACAAAGTTCCTCGAGGGCGGTGACGATGACGAAGACGACGAGTAAGTCCATGTGACCAGCTTAGGGCCCATCACATAGTTTTACATAATAAATTGGCATAGACAGATGAATCGTGAATCATATAATTTAAGTAGAAAGGTCGTCACCAAGCTCAGTTGCTGGGAATGATCGCTCCCCAGCAGGTTTCAGTGGTGACCAGGGAATTGATTTTGAATACTCCTCGGGTAACACAGGGCCGTTTGCTATGATCTCAAAGACCCCAGTAGGCTCCTCCATAGACTCAAGCTCGATATATAGATCCCTCAGGGGAATATTGAGATTCGTTAGGTTCGACGGCAAAACGATGGTGTTGAGCTCAAGCCTAGGATTTAGTTCAGCTTCCATAACCTTGACGAACTTTTTCAAAAACGGGGTAATTTTCGAACTTTTCGCCTTGGAGGGCAGATCATCGGCAAGAAGGGATCGTAAAAGATTTGCGTGTGCTTGATGTCTTGGTTTGATGAAAATTGAAACTGTTTTTGGTGTGTCAAGATTAGCGGGCCTGCCGAAATAGGGAACAGAAAAGACGATTTCTCTCAATGCAACGTTAGCTGTCAAGCGAATTCCTATAGAGCACAGATTTGACTTGCACTGCCAATAGGGTGCTTGTCGTGACAAAGCATTGTTAGCATTAAACCGCAAGCGGTCAGGGGCATTTAGTCCCTGAGAAGTAAGATAATCATACCAGCCGAGAAAAATTGCACGAAAAAAAGGAAAACCTTTTTGCTTTCCATGTTGAGTTGTGAGGAATCCCAATACCCTAGCACCTTTCTCATAGCTCGCGAAATTTGGCTGGCTGTGGCTATCACGAGGTTGATCATAATTCGGCAACTCTGTACTGAAGTCACCCACCTCGAATTCATCGGGGCATAAATCTGCCTTTAAAAGAGGTCCCCCTCTTTGTTGTTTGAGCTCTTGCCGTATAAAGTCGCGTATATCGTGTTCTCCAAAAATTGCGTCGCCCACTTGACCCTTGTCATTTGTCTCTTTTTTATGGGTTTCGAGCTGTTGATAATTGGATAATTCTTCCTTAGTAATATTGCGAATAAAATCATGGAACTCCGTGGTGTATCTAATTTTATGGTCTTTCATGAACACTGGAACAAACCTGGTGATATATCGAGAGATGGATCGTAAGACAAAGTCATCGAGAGCATCGCCCTCCAATCTTAAAGATGTGAGAGTTTTGTCTCTTTGCTTATAATCGTTTTGTGGCAAGACGTTATCCGGATTATCGTCCAGTGGTTCATTTGGGATATTTTCGTGCAGTGGGACTCTTTCAACAATGAGATCAGTTTGTTTATCCTGGACAAGCTGTCTATTGGATTTTTCAAGCTCGTCGAGTTCACGGGAGAGAGCCTCAAGCCTTGAAAACTTCTCCTCTATGGCGTCGATCTGCCGCATATGCTCATAGGATTGAAACAGTCCATTGAAGTAATATAGTATGACAACAGCAATTCCGATGATCAAGCCCACTGAATTCAAAAGCAGAAGCTTGCTATTTTTCTGTGATACTCTGCGAGTCAGCACCTGGTTCTCATTTGACCCATCTTCGAAAATGTCCGTTTCTAAGATGTTGGTACCGCCAACGTCATACTCAAGGTATTGATCAAAAGCACGATTAAAAAGTTCCGGATTCTTCATCTTATCCCGGGAGTAATCAGCTTGTAGGATACTTAAGATGCGTTTATCATATGTGTTTCGATGCAAAGGCCGTGCCGGGCCAACATTACTGTACGGATGGATTGAAGCATCGTCATCTGTGGGATCAATGATTTGGGGTAGACTTGAAATTGATGTCATATCTCTGAAACAAGTCTTGATGTACTGCTGACTGATTCAGTTTTGTGAGTGGGCGTTACGCATATGTCAAAGTGTATTCGCGTGCATCAAATGTTTGGTTTTGCTGCGATGCACGCGTTGAACTCGATCCTGTTATACGGGCTGCACGATTATTGGGGCAAATATTCTCAGACGCACAAATGCTCAAAGTCGCTTTAAAAACGATAATTTTTTTTTTTTGTTTGATTCATAATAAATGTGACTAAATTGTAGGCCAAGGATTTTATGAGTTGTACGAATGCTTTTTGTATGAACGCGCAACACCTTTGTATATTTCATATAAAGTTACGTCAAATTTGCACTAACATTTATTACCAATCGAAAAAAATCGAAAACCTTACTCGCTTTTTCCTAAAACTTTCCTAAAACCATGAGAAACAATTAAAAAAGTGACATACATTATTTGAAGATAAATGGGTAGTTTTGCATTCTAAAGGGGCAAACACTAATGGAGCTTTCCCGTCAGTGATAATGCTTCCTGCTTTATAAAAACTCAAAGAAACAGCTTCAAAAATGCTACATTGTGACCAACGAATCCACCAATATAAGCGCCCGTAAGTATCGTTAAGGGCCACTGCTGCCATGGTCTGTCCCAATCGAGGGGGATAGGGATCACACCTATCCAGGCACCAACTAACGTGAAAAACGAGGAGCAGAGCACGGAGTTCGACAATATCTGAGAGTATATATTGTCAATGCTGAAAAACTTACGCAATTGATCGTGCTCAAGCCTGAAAAGTACCAAGACAGGTTGAATAACCAACAACGAAAGGTGAATTGAGAGAACGTAGGTCTCCAGAACAAGCATCGAAAGTGGTGCACCCATTAAAATGACGATGCAAAACACAACATTGGCAAGTAGAAGGGATGCAACCGTAGCAGTTATGACAACAAGTGGCCCGTTTTCTTTTATGGTTCTTCCTTGATGAGCATTTGAGCTCAGATGCATCAAGAGAAATCCGTAGATACACTGTGCAATGACTAGAATGGATATCCCTGCTCCCATGACGCCAAGGGGATTCAGTGTCAATCCTCTTGAAAACAATGCATGTATGATGAGAAGATAGTGTGCTGGATTTGGCCAAAGTAGATTCTTAACTGCTGGAACCGTGATCTCTTGAGAGTTATTTATCTCATCTGTCGGCTCACCAACGGAGGCAGAAAAGGAAACGCTCTTAGCCTTTCTCGAGGCCGCTTTGGTATCTTTCTTATCGTCAAGTTCCATCTGTGATATGATATTAATATGGTAGCGCGAGGCATTTCAAGAGCATGATTTTGTCACGTGTATTAAGACAGAACTACTATAGAATATTAAGAACATTTTCCATCTCGACCAAATCTTTCCATAGCTCCACCTCAGCATGTGAGCCAATCTTTTGCACCAAGGTCTGCTTTCTATCATCATTCAATTTTGCGTAGCGCCGGATCAACTCACAGTCTAAAAGTGGCCGCGAAGTTCCATCAGTTACACTTCGATTTCCTAGGCGATTCAGTTTGGGATTCAATCCACAAGGGTGAAACTCCTTATCTATCAATTGTTGTTGCAAAATGTATAGTCTTCGGTAGATCGCTTCGTCGACGGGAAAGACTGTGAAAAATGCACCCTCTGCAGTTGAGGCAATAGTTTGGAAGGCTTGCCTTTCACTTGAGACTGACTGGTTGAACTGTTCGAACTTTGGAATACTTTTCATGCAAGATACAGAGAAGTTGGTGTTGAACGTCGCCTTGTGAAGAAGTCTTTGACCATTGGACGACGCAGGATCTTCTGGGTTGTATTGTAAAGTGTGCAATATACCGCCACTGTCTGCAATCACAACTTGAAGGTCACCATCTTTCACAATAAAATCTGCACATGCAACATCATGGCCATGAACGTCCTTACTCAACATGAGCATTCTAAACGGCTCAGCATCAAAACCAGCTAACCAAACACTTTTAAGCGTATCTCCAAGAAGCACAAAATTTCCAAATGACTTCGTCTCTGTCACATACACTGCAGTATCGAGAAAAGCGACGGGAACTGCGCTGTTATCCTTGATATCCCGGACAATGATTTTTTGGCCCTGTGCAATGAGAAAACGGCCAGTAACATCACATAACGAAGTAACAGCACCACGGATGTCTTCGTGGGTAAACTCCTTGAATTTGTGGTTAGTTTCCGGCCTACCAGGCTCAGGAATGATGTCAATGATTTCTAAAAGTTTATAAGCACCATTGGCCACAAGATCCTCCGTAGTGTATTTGCCGGTACCAACGAGAACGAATTCTTTTCTGTTTTTGTAATGCTTCACGGAACTGCCAACATCTAAAGGCATCGTCTTGAGGTGCAAGGCAACTTCATTTTCTTCTAATTCGATGGAATCAATGAAGCTCCAATTCTTTGGTGACAAAAGTTTTATCAGTCCTTTGTAGGATACCTCTCGTGGCTTGTTAGGTTTTAAGCCAAATATGGGATTTCCCTCAAAATCGACGCAATTATAAGGAATATTCTGAAGTGTGGCCAAGACGAAGGTGTCCGATCCCTCATGGTAGGCTATCGACTTGACGGTTTCTCCAACCTTGACACGTCTCATTGGGAGTCTATTCTCATAGTTGAACACTTTAGGAATCTCAACAATTCTGGCATTCTTTTTCGTGTCGAGATAGATGAGGGCATTCTGAAGTTTGTCGTCACTAAAGGGGACGAACGACACGATCGGAATATTCAGGAACTTGAAGACTCTTACACTTGCTTTCCTACCTTTGACGATAAAATATGGCACAATTCCCGTGACAAGAATGCAAGTGAAACCACTTATGTTTGGGAAAAATACCAACCTTCTTTCGATCGAGGTACCTTCTGGATATGCATTGTGTGGTGCACCAGTGATGGGGGTTTCCATATCTTTGAGAAATTTGTAGTTTTCTCCATCGAAGAAAAGTTTGTAACATATTATTTCACCACCGACCGTCAAAATGGTGAGGTATTCTTCTTTGCTTGTTTCATCACCCAAATCATTGAGAACAACTTGCTTGATAACTGGGTCGGGCTCACCTGCATTGATATCGAAGAAACCAAGAGAAAGCAAATCACTAAATTTGTTGACCGAGTTCAATTGAAAGCACTTTTCATTATGGAATCTGTTGAAGACGACAATTCTGTTGTCACCAGTAACAACGAGAAAAATTTTGGACTTGGGATCATCCTTGCCTCCTTCCTTCAGTGTTTGTTCACCGTCTCGGCGACGCTTTTGACCCCTATTAGTGAGAAGTGAAAGGTCTTTAGTCACAGCGTTGAGAACCCTAGAATTGGTGATGTATCCCGTAGTTATGAGAACGTCATCCAATAACTTTGGTAAAGGAATCCTTGTGAAAGACTTGCTATATGTATTGATTGTGAAAATCAACAACTCTCCTGTGGAGAGAAATAGCATTAGAAAGCCATCATCGAACACACTTGTTATGATATCTGCATCTGAAAATTCCTGTAGTTGTTCGTCCAATGTAACGATCCTTTTAAACTTATTGTTGAATAATATTACATGCTTCGGAGTCACTTGAAGTATGAAGTTTCCATTATTCAATTCATGCATTGCCACCGTGAGCTCGTCATGAATAAATTGCTTTGCCGGCAAACGAGCATAAGATTGTGTGATATCAAAAATTTCTGACTTATTGTTAGGATCGTCAGAAGTTATGAGATACTTGTTGTTGAGAGTCCAAAGACGATTAAGCTGAGAAAACGTAAGTGACGTTTTAATTTCAGGTTGCACGGTCGGGGTGAAAATGTTCACATGACCAGATTCGTTAAGACCACCGGTAGAAAAAATGGATATCAGATTGTAATTCGGATTTGGCAAATTGGTGACGTACCGCTCTCTGCTGTAATTGCCTAGCGTAAAATTGGAGATGGGACCATTGTTGGAAAGTGAATCGTACTGTTTGAGCTCCAACCTTCCCCTCTTTGACCCATTGGTTGCTTTGCTATCCTCCAAGTCATCATAAAAATCGTCATCATCATCGTTAGCACCTTTGACATTATCATTCGCTTCAACGGACGTAGACATGTCTGACGAACTAATCCTAACCAATGCCGCATCGCACGCATTGCTTGCAAAGAATAACAAATCATCATCCAACAAGGCAATTTCGCCGGGGAGCTGATGTATCCATTGCGAGAATGATTCAGACTCAAAAGCCTCAACCACCATTCGTTTGATGGTCTTACCATCCATATCAAATGTCACGCAATAGCTTTGGCCATTCTTTAGAAGCATGAGAAGTTTTGTCTCGTTTGGAATCTTGACAAATACACAATTTTCTAGTTTAAGATTGAATGACAGTTGATCTGTGAAGGCACGCAGCGTGTTTGTGATGTCTGCGAGGTACTCGTTTAAAGCGATTCGACGTAGAATTCCACCACCATCAACATGAATTATTTCGTTGCTTCCAGCTAGCAAACTGCCATGAATTGGTCCCGGGACAGGATAAATTCTGTCTATGTCATAAGGCAAATTCTCAACCTTCAAAACGGTTGTTGCAGACTGTGCTCGCAAATTGAGAGATAAAACAGTGAATTGAACGTTATCCTTTTGAACCGGTAGAAGACCAGTCCATGTTCGTTTCGTTTGGGAAAGGATTGCGATAGTCGGTCTTCTATAATTACCCAAGAATTGCAAATCAATAATTTCTCCAATGCTGCTATCCAATGAATTGACCTCTAGCACTAAACTTTCTTCAAATAAGGAGATATTTCTGGCCCTTGGACCAAGCGGATCAACCAGGGGAACAAGTGGAGCTCGTTCATCCTTGCTTGCGTTTGGAGAAGTTGGTTCAATTTGCTCTTTTTTCTCACCATCGTTGTTTACTTCGGCTTCATTATCATCTATATTTTCATCGCCAATGTCATCATCATCGTCATCATCGTCTTCATCTTCAACTTGGTGGAAGGGTAAAAAGATGAGCACATTGGCTTGACGCAAGCAGGCCATGGCATTTGAATTTGGATCGACGATGAGCTGAGAGCTTTTGTTTTGCTGATATGCGGTTTCCTCCATCAAATGTTCATAGAAATGCAATGAGACTGTTTGAATGGTATGTTTTGATGCATCCCATTTTATGCAAGAGAATTTAGCACTCTCGGTAGACACTAAAAGATAGTCAAGGTTCGGCGACTCCAAAGTACGGATCGGCTTCAAGTCAGTAACCTTTCCCTGTAAACGGTATTGCAGCACCAAGCTCAATTGGTGGCTCTCTTTTGATTTATCAGACGTTTCACTTGAGATTTGGAACACTTGTAGAACCGACGTCTTGGCCACAATAAGATGTTTTCTTGTCGGTGAGATAAAATTGCAGCCAACACAGTGAGTCACCGTTGTCGGCTCTATTATCACATCGTATGCATTCATCTAGATGGTGATGCTAAAATGTCGATGGAAATGTAGGTGAGTTTTAGTGCAGCGCACCTGTACACCCAGCTTCTACGGTTCGCGTGTGGTAAATATGATGCTCATTATTGTATTTCTTTAACAGACTACTGTACATATATCCTTAACGAAAGAAAAGGTTCCGTGGTGAACCTGGTAAAAAAGAAGGGAAATCTCACATAAGTGCGAGAACGATTGGAACGAGGCCGAAAACCACAGGAGCAGCTTGGGCAGCAGCACCTTCATATGTGGAAACGAGAGGAGTAGTGCTCTGCACCACAGAGGCAACAGAGGAGCTCTTAGAGTATTGAGTCACAATGTTGTTGGTGATGACATTCACCGTTCCAGAAGGTGCTGGAGAGCTGGTTTCGTGGTCCTCGGACTTGGTGATGGTGATGTACTCAGTCTCAGACGAGGTGATCTCCTTCACAGGTTCCGAAGGCTGCTCACTGGTGGAAGACTCAATTGGGCAGTAAGTGGTGTAGATGCTCTCCACACCGTGAATGGTTGTGGTCAACTCGGTCACACCGGTAGTAACGGCTGAGGATTGACACACTTCTTCCGAACAGACTGTGACAGTGGCGACGGTAGTAGACTGAATAGTCTTCTTTGGCTTGACAGACAGCTCAGAGCTAATTGGGCAGTAGGTGGTGTAAATGGTTTCAACGCCCTTAATCGTGGAGGTCACAACAGTCAAGCCGGTGGTAACAGCAGTAGGCTTGCACTTGTTGTCAGAGCAGGAGGTGATGATCACGACAGTGGTGCCAATCTCCGACTCAGTGACGACAGACTCTGGAGCCTGAGTAGTTGTGGCTGCAGCAGAAGCCTCAGTCCCTTCAGTGGATGTCACAGGGACGTGAGTCAAGTAAGTCGTCAAAATACCATCGATGGTGTCGGTGGTGGTGACCCAGGTTTCCAAACCGGTGGTAGTGTAGCAAGAGCCACCGTTGCAGACGACCCTGTCAGTGGTGAAGATGCTGTCATTGGTGACAACATCGGTTTCGTAAATGACTTCCTCGGAGCTGGAGGAGGGAAGCTGGGTGGACTCAAGGTCGGAAGTTGATTCAGCTTCTGGTGCAACATGCGTCACAGGCGTAGTATCATTGGAGAACTTAAACGTGGAAGGTCCCAAAGAACATGAGCTAGACACGATGGTCGAGGTCAAGGTAGGAAGGTCCGCAAGAGCAACCGAGGCAAGGGAAGCAAGCGTGGCTAACTGAGTAGACTTCATCAGAACTTTGGTGTTTTTTGTGTATCGAGAAAAAAGAAGAATAGGAGCATGAAAGTACGACAAAAGCCCCAAATATATTGGCCTCAGCCACGGCAGCTTGCCAATGACTTCTGCAAGCTCAAAAGCTGGTGTCACTCCAATTCGGCATATGTGCAAGCAAAATCGCTTGATAAATCGCCAAAGCGCTCGAAGCAGTTTCGCAGCCAGCACGCGAAACGGTTGTCTTAGCGAAGAACAATGGAAATATGTACATTGTGTGCAGGAAAGAAGAGCTGGTGCGCCAGATTTGTCTAAGCCAGCACGAAGGTCTGATGTACTCCGAGAACGATCGTAGAAATCAGGATGCGTGATCAGAATCAGTCATTGAGATCAGTGATCTGCTGAAATGATCCAGTAAAAATATTCTGTTTGCCGCACCTTGAATGCGCAAAAGCTCTGTCAATATGTAAGTAATTAGACCAATTATGGTCTCTTCATCTTGTAAGCTTGGCGTTGAGGTCAAAATGAGCTTTGGGAGGGCGGTTGTAGATGACCACTGTTTGGGAACTCCGGTATACGCCATTCTGCCTTCAATGGCCCCACCCCAACGGTACCAAGCCATTTCCTATTGTGTCGACTTATCGCACTAACCAGCCGTGCAGCTGCAAAAAAATGTGGGAACAGGCCTGATTTGGAAAACCAACGCCAACAATTTTCTCTGTCATTTAGGAGGCTTAAACACATCTCGCTTGAATTACGGTGAACCCTGGAATTGACACAAGCTCGCTTGAAGCCGAATTCGCGCGAATGCTGTAAGCGTGATGACTCGGCGATTGATTTCTCATACATTCTATCCATGAGGCAATTCATACTATGGCTACTCTGGATTCACCTCGCTTGCTCTAAGATCGCAGAATTCAGTTCCATTGATGAGATCTTGGAATCCCATTACACATTGCTTTATTTCTATACGCCTGGTTGCGTATACTGTAATGGGTTCGACGCAGACTTTGTCTACTTGAATGAGATTTATGACCACAATGACGACCTCACGTTTGCAAAGATCAATGGGCATAGAGAGAAACAGCTCGCGGAGCTATTCGGAGTAACCAGCTATCCCACTATTAAGCTATACGATGCCCATCAAAAGAAGATCGCACACTTCCGGGAGACAAGGACGCTTCCTAATCTTGAGAAATTCATAGCGGAGTTTTCCCAGGCCACACCTAACGAAGCTACTATTGAATTGCCATTTGAGGTCTTGAGCTCTGCAGATCAGCTTGACCAATTGCTTCTCAAACAAGACAACATTCTAATAGCAATTGTCTCCAAATCGAGCCCTGAATGGCTGAACTATTACTACCCCAACCATTTTTACCTGCAAGTGGCCCAACTGCACCCCAATATAACCTTTAGTGTGGTCTTTGCGGATGAGACCGGTGGTGACATATTGGAGCGGTACGCAGTAAGCAACTTTCCGTCCTTGATTTTAATCTCGGAGAGCGGCCTCAAAACGTTTAATTCGTTTTCAACTAACGCCTTAACGAACAATAACCTCGAGGAGGGGGACTTGAACGATATCTTGAAAAACACCAAAGAGAGGCAAGATATCCATTTTTTCAAATCTCTCGAGGACCTCGAAGCTCACGTATCTTCCGGGAGCTATGAAGGTCACAAGCAGATCAAACCAGGTATGAATGTGGGCAAGTTGACCCGAGAGAGTGTAGATGTGGACCTGGAGTATGAGGAGCTTCTTCGCCACATAGAGCTATAACATACAATAAAATACGCAATAGTGGATAGTCGCGAATATGTCGCTACTGCATTGACCATATATTTTTTTTTACAATTTTTGTAAGCTGTTTTGACCTCTAGACTCCATAGGTTTCAGCCTCTTCCTGCAGGCCGACAATAACAAGTAAGCTTTGAGAAACAGCGACAGCATTTTGAATTGTCGATACGTTATTGGGATAGAGATAAATTGTGATGAATATTTTCCGGTTCGTTGCAGACCTTCTGCATTTAGCAAGTATACTCATCTTGTTATACTCCATTGAGAAGAATAGGTCAGTGAATGGTTTGTCCTTGAAAACTCAACTCTTATACGTGTTGGTGTTTGTCACCCGTTACTTGGATTTGTTCACCTCTTACATTTCCTTGTATAACACGCTCATGAAGATCTTTTTCATTGCCTCATCCTGTTATGTTGTATACCTCATGTCAGTGAAGTACGCCAAGTCCATTCGGGAGAATATTGACACCTTCCCAGCCAGATACATCATTGGAGCCGCTGCTATTTTATCCTTTATTTTCACGCACAAATACACTTTCAAAGAAGTACTTTGGTCGTTTTCTTTATGGATAGAAGCTGGTGCAATTCTTCCGCAACTCTTCATGTTGCAAAGAACTGGTTCCGCTGAAAACATTACTACGCATTATATCTTTGCTTTGGGGCTTTACAGAGCTTTATACATCCCTAACTGGATTTACAGATTCTTCACGGAGCTGCATTTTGACTACATTGCCTTCCTTGCTGGTGTCGTTCAAACACTTGTTTATTCCGACTTCTTCTACATATACTACACTAAAGTCATGCAAGGAAAGAGCTTTGAATTGCCAGTTTGAAATTTGATATGATTCTTTATAGATGAAGTGATCCATGAATGCGGCAGACATGATTAGTCACGCTTCAATGGGAAGTACTCTTTCCTGACGCCCTCTTTTGTCACAATAAAAATTTCCAAGCCATCACCAACGTAAATATGTCTCTCAGTTGCCGAAGTAAAGGCGTCCTTGACCAACTTTAAGACCTCTTCTAAACTCAAATACCTCAAAGGCTTCTTCTCTTTGCCATCAGTTCCAGGGACATACTGGTTCTTAAAATTGACCTGATTATCAAGGAATGGCATTATCAAGGATGCAGCGGCGCCACCAGCTCTGCACTGCTCCCTTTCATAAGAGCCGACTGGATCATATGAGTACACGGCACCTTTGCCTTCCTCATCCAATCCAGCAATCAAAGTACTCACATAGTATGGGAAGAATCTCTTTCCGTATAATAGATGCTGAATAAATCTTGCGGCAGATTTGATTGTCAATTTCTTGTTGTTGTTGTCGAACTTGTACCACTTGTACTGAGTCTTGAACCTGTCAATCAAGGCAGAACCGTCAGCAGCGAAACCATTGGCTGTCATAACAATATCATCGCCCACGTCAAAGATTTTGGGTTCATAACGAGAATCAATAGAGTAGCCTGAAACGATACGAGTGTCTCCAGCCAATACCGCAAAATCCTCGCCAGCAATCCCTAGGACAGTTCCTCCGTTATCGGAGTATGGGTTAAATCTATGCTCAATAGGTACAGAGACCTTCTCTGCACTGTATTCAGAGGCAATTGTGGACATTTGTTGTTTAAAACTTCGAGATCTAGTAGACACCAAAGTAGTACTGATATTGGTGCTCGCCACCACCCGTACATCTCTAATGTACATGGCGGACACCACTGGTTCAGCAAATACATAAAGAAACGTAGAGGAAGTAAAAATTGAGAATTCTTGAAATTCGAAATGAAGTCGATTGAGTAGTATCTTTTGTTGGTGAAAATTTTGAGCCTTTGAAGTGATGTGGGAACGAGCTCTGCTACCAACGGTCAGTTTACGCAGACGTTTTGACTATTTAGAAGAACGTTGAGTCGAGAATTCAGTCAACGACCCACCAACAGAAGAAAAAAAAGGTCCAATTGTGGTGTTCACCCTCATTAGATGATGTGAATCCTGTGGTACATCTAGATACTTTAGCCATGCGACCGCTGAAAAATATGGAACGCTCGTGTGTTAGAATAATTTATTTTTAGCTGTTTGTTCATTCAAGAAGAAGGAGCTTAGTGAAGGCAAAATGGAGATATAAACATTATTTGAAAGTATCAAATCACTTAAAAAGGTGATCAGTTTCGAGAATTTGGAGGCGCGGGAGCACAGTGGGAGACCATGTGTGACATAAAGGTTAGAAGCAGAATTGCCCTCGAAATTTTCATATAGCTTGCTTCAAAGTAGATGAATATAGGAGTAAAAGCCAATGTTGATGGCCTAAACTTTGGTGTTCACTAGCAACTCGGCACGCGGACTTTGCAGCCAAAAGCAGATCAGGGGTTGCAGAGCAAGAGAATATATAAATGACGTACTCGACTGTCTACGGTATATAAATGGCACACAAGACATCAAGAGGTAGAGAGAAGTTGATTGTTCAATGAGTCGGCCAAGGAGTATTTCTTGAATCTTTGTTAGTAGAATGCGTTATGAGCATGTGAAAATGAGATCGAAATAGTTAGATGGTAGCCTATTTGAATGAGGATAAGTCCAAAAGCTGTTCTAGAAAATAAAAGTAAAGAGAAATGATTTAACTGACCCGATTTTTCAATTCAGTCGCTAATGGGCAATGCTAGAATCTGTTATCATAAAATAAGATAAGGGACCATCGCCTGCACCGGGGCCGCATTGAGACACAATCTCCTATCGCAAGATGTATTTAATCAAGAGAATCTGACCAAATCGTGATATCCTGCTTTTTTTGCAAAAATCGACTTCTGAGCAGGTTGAGTGAAACATGGCCGAGGATGACGCTCATTTATTCGTTCTTGTACATGGACTCTGGGGTAGTCCCACCCATATGCTGACGGTGGAAAAGGCAATCAAACACTCACTAAAGGACGTTTCGAAAGAAAGAATTGTCACTTTGAAGCCACTGTCGTTTCGTTTCTGGAAAACTTATGACGGTATTTCAAGATGTGCCGAGAAAGTCATTGCGGAAATTCTTTACGAGATGGAAATCTTGAAGCAAAAGGAAGGCTGCAACGTTACGAAGATCAGTATAGTTGGCTATTCTTTGGGTGGCTTGATCTCGAGAAACGTGGTCGGCAAGCTCTACGAGATGGGATTCTTTGATACAGTTAAACCAGTTGTCTTCTGTACGTTCGCTACACCCCACGTAGGGGTCCACTTTTTCAGAGATCATATCTTCGATAAGGTAGCAAACGTTGTCGGGAAATTCATTTTGGGTGTCACTGGCTTCCAACTATTCATAGCAGATCGAGATCCTTTATTGGTTGAGATGAGCAAACCCGGCACTATTTACTTCAAAGGTTTGGAGTGTTTTGAAAAGCGGTTGCTATTGGCCAACATCAAGAACGACAGAAGCGTGGCATTTTACACAAGCTTCATTACTGAACATTCACCATTCGATCATTGGGATAAGCTTAAGGTCAAATACTTTAAGGACCTACCAACCTCCAAAATCGGAGGCGTTTTGGTGAGGCCAAAGTTTGTCGACTTGGAGAGATCATGCAGAGTTGAGACACTGGGCAAACCGCCAGACAATAATCAAGAGGCAACTTCATTTGTCAGACGCAACAAGCTCGTCCGGTATTCTGTCATAATAGTTGCTGCCTCCATACTCATTCCCTTTTATATCCCTGTCATCCTTTGCTTGTCGCTGGTTGTGTCCTTGTATACCTTGATTAAAGTCAAGTTCCTGAGTGGACCCGACATTTTGAGCCACTGGAAAGAAGTTCGAAGCTCTGTATTTGGTGATGGCGAGGTCAATGCCGAAAATGCACAGCGTGGTGAAGAGAGAAGAAAAGAGCGTCATGAACTAGCAAAACACGAGTCCTTCAAGGGCGACACATCCTCCTTTACTGAGAATGGTATGGAGAACGTTTTGTACGCTGAAAGCAGGCTCCATGGGAAGCAATCGGATGTTTACAAACAGGAGGGTTCGAGCGAAGACTTGGGAAAGGGCGATATCCAGTCTCTGAGTGAGGAAACGCAAATATCTCCGGTCGAGTCGGATCTTTCGGATTCAGACAAGAGGTCAGCTACCTCATACCTTGCATCCTTCTTGAAAAGAAAGAATCCTGTTGATATAGATGCTGCCATTAATGATTCAATCATGAAGACGCATGCAGCCAAACTCTCCGTCACAGACTATTCACAATTCCCTCTATTTACGGAGGATACCAAACTAGCCATTTCGGAACATCAAAAAGAAATAATTGAAAACCTCAATCAGCTTTCTTGGGAAAAGATCGCTGTGTATCATGACCTGTTCAACGCACACGATGGAATCGTTGCTAGGAGAGGCGAAAAGACAAATCCCAAAGGCACCTCAACAGTGTACCTATGGGTCTCAATAATTAGAAATCACTTGAGTGCCCTTTAAATAATTGACTCAAATTATCTATGCATAATATAATAAATAGATCTTATGCTATTTTTTTGCCGCCCATGTAATCTGTATAGTCTCGGCTAAGCAACCTTCGCACATCAACAATAAACTACGCACATCAACATACTTTAGCCAATTACTACCGTCCGTTCGTTGCGATGAGACAATGCATGCTTAAATGGAGAGGTTTAGGACTTGGGAGAAGTCTGTTGTGGCACCAACGGTCACCCTTTGCTACTCCAATCAGACCTTCCCTTATCAAGCCATGCCCACTGATTAGACAGTACTCTCATGGCAAGCATAGTCATCAACACCAAGGGCACCATGAACAAGCCCAGGGAAACAAATACAGCATTACATTTGCATTGTCAGCCTCAATGGCGGTTCTCGTATGGAAATCGCCCATTTTGAATGAGGTGTATCCGGTCGATACAAGCATACATAGTCTAAAGCCCATAGAGACAGCTGACACCTTCGAAAACGGTCTTTATGCGGCCTCTCAGAAAGAAGAACAGGACATGTTTGACGATTATAGAAGAGAGCGAACCTCGAAAGGTCCATTTATCGCTAGAGTGTTCTTCCGCCTACAGTTTGTCGTCATTGACTACATTATAGATCCGTTGAAAACTATTATAAGGTTCGTGGAACTCACATCGATATTTATGCCAGTGCTCCTTGCATCACCTATCTGCTGGTTTGGAAAGAAAGATAGAAAGACAGGCACTTATGTCAGAAGCGGAGCCAGGCTTTGGTTCAGATACTTAAGATGGGCCTCTGAAGCTGCTGGTGCCTCTTTCATCAAATTGGGTCAATGGGCTGCCTCGAGAACTGATATCTTTCCAAAGGAGATGTGCGAGGAGCTCTCCAACCTCCATTCCAACGCAAAGGCTCATTCGTTATCTGAGACCAAGAAGATATTGAGCAAGAGCTTTGGCATGCCATTCGAGGAAATTTTTGAAGAGTTCAGGGAGAAGCCATTGGGAGTCGGTGCTATTGCGCAAGTTTATCTCGCCAAGTTGTCAGACAAGGCTATTCAGCGTGCCAAAAAGGAAAACGATACCACCGTTCAGCTTTCGCTTGACCCAGCTGCTCACGAGCACCAGCAATTCCTCGATAAAGTTATTGTTACGGAGCCAAGCAGCTTCATCACGAAGAAGCAGGAAGTGGCCATAAAGGTCTTGCACCCCAACGTGGAAGTGAAGATCAACCGTGACTTAAAGATCATGAGTTTCTTCGCTTCTGTGATCAACGCTATTCCCACAATGGAGTGGCTCTCTCTTCCTGACGAAGTGGAGCAATTTTCCGTATTGATGAGGTTACAATTGGATTTGAGAATCGAGGCTCTCAATCTAGCAAAATTCAGACACAATTTCAAAAACCGTTTGGACATTCACTTTCCCAAGCCCTTCTTGAACTTTAGCACAAGAGATGTTCTTGTGGAAGAGTATATTGATGCTATCCCATTAAGCAAGATGCTTGACCTCAAGGAGAACTTCGGAAAAAACCTCTCCAAGGAGATTAGTGACAAAGGTCTCGATGCATTTTTACAGATGCTCATCTTGGATAATTTTGTTCATGCCGATCTTCATCCAGGCAACATGCTTATCAGGTTCTACAAGAATAAGTTGTATCGCCACGAAAAGGAGTATAAGATTGTGAAAACCAGTAACGAAGAGGAGACCAATCGGATCACGGAAGATCTTCTTGCATTGGGCGATGATAGACAGGCGTGGGTGAAGAGGCTTGAAGAACTCTATGACCTGGGATACCATGCAGAGATTTGCTTCCTTGACGTTGGTCTCATTACCGAATTGAATCACACTGATCGTGTCAATTTTATTGACTTGTTCAAAGCATTGTCCGAGTTCGATGGTTACCTCGCCGGCGAGTTGATGGTGGAACGTTCGAGGACACCAGAAACTGCCATCAACAAGGAAATCTTTGCTTTGAAAGTCGAGAAGTTGGTTGACCGCATGAAACAAAGAACGTTTGCTTTGGGTAACATTAGCATCGGCGATCTCTTAGACCAGGTGCTTGGAATGGTGCGCTCGCATCACGTCAGAATGGAGGGAGACTTTATCACCGTCATCGTGGCTATTCTACTTTTGGAGGGTATCGGAAGACAACTTGACCCTAAACTAGATTTATTTGCAAGGTTCGTATACGCCTTTGTTTTTGGGTTCCCTACGGAGAACACCTTGCCATTTTTGGCACAATGAAAAAACACCTAATGATTATAATGACAAACATACTAACTATGCAGCTCTTTGCCCGTTCTCAGAAAACTCGGAGCCCTGAAAGAAGGAAGAGAGATTATGAGAGACGAAGATACTTCCAGCATGATCAAAGTGTGGCTTGCACTTGAAGTCAGACAATTCATCCACGCCTCAATTCAAGATGTACGTATTTTTCAGACTATTCACAACGAAAACAAAACACTAACCAACAGATTCATGCCCTCGTGAAGGCGGACATGCTTTCTCCGAATGCATAGAGAAAGTGCCATGCTGCAAGAAACCGTTGAGCGGTCCTAGTTTGCAGGAACCGCAAATTGAGCTCGGCGATGAGTGTATCTTAGCACCGAATTCATGCGCACATTCCCGCAGATTAGTTATATAAGTACTCCTCCTTAAATCTCAGATTCTTTTTCTTCGCTTACTTCACCACTTCATCAATTCCTATTTAAACAATGGCTTCCAATCCTCCTGGCGCTTGCTGTATCGAGTCTAACTTCCACGAGGGCACACCTCTGGGTAACCATCAGAATGTATTTGGCTTGGACACCTACGTGACTGGATCTGAAAACTCAAAGAGAGTGATTGTGATCTTGACTGACATCTACGGTCACAAGTACAACAACACTCTTTTGGTTGCCGATCAATTGGCCAAGTTGGGCGGCTACAAGGTCTACATTCCTGACATTTTGGAGAACGACCCAGTTCCAGCCACCCACGGTGACCTTGGTCCATGGTTGCAGAAGCATACTCAAGAGGTCACCAAGCCTATTATTGAAGGCTTTTTGAAGCCATTGCGTGAGCAGGTTGGCTCCGAAACCTTCGTGGGTGTCATCGGTTACTGTTTCGGTGCCAAATATGCCATCCAGCAGATTGCATCTGACGGATACGCCACTGCTGCAGCTGTGGCTCACCCCTCTTTCGTGACAATTGAGGAGGTTGAGGCGATCAAGAAGCCTCTTCTCATTTCTGCTGCCGAGACCGACCCTATTTTCACTGTGGAGTTGAGACACCAGACCGAGGAGGCTTTGGCCAAGATCAAGGCCAGATACCAGCTTGATTTGTTCTCCGGTGTTGTGCATGGTTACGCCGTCAGGGGCGATATCAAGGACCCAGTGGTCAAGTATGCTATGACCAAGACCATTTCTGATCAGGTCCAGTGGTTCGCTCAATTTTAGATTATGCGCACTGTCTATACCGAATGTATGTAGCCTGTCAAATGTATGAAATCCGCACCTAATTCCTGGCAATTGATAAGACAACGTTACTTTCTTTTTCCTGACTTGTAAGCAATGGGTTCCGAAAAAGAGCTTCCAATTTACGGCAATGGCAATGTGGCCCCAAAGAAGCGCAATTGCAAAATGGTGTGGTCTTTGGGCCTCGTTTTAGTCGGTCTTTCTTGTTACTTATTGAGCGGAATTTCGAACACCCAAGGGTACCTCGGAGATACCTTCCGAAGCTTCTCTGGCGACGATGGAAAGAATCCTGACTCGCTCTGTCCAATTGTGGAAAAGGTGAAATTCTCGGACTTTGTCTACGAGAGTGATACTGTTGACCGGATTCTTCATGATGCCAAATTCCGCAACCAGTCGATCGAGAAGTTACTCGGAGCCGTGAAGTACCCTACTGAGATTTATGATGAAATGACCCGTCCCGAGGAGGCCGACTCCGTTGACGAGTTGTTGAAGATCGAGCCAGGTTGGAAATACTTCCAGGACTTCCAGAAGTACTTGAAGAAGACTTTCCCAAAGGTTCACGAGCATTTGAGCCTTGATAAGGTGAACGATTTTGGCTTGGTTTACACTTGGAAGGGTAAGGACGAAAACAAGAAGCCATTGCTTTTGACTGCCCACTACGATGTTGTTCCTGTTCAGAAGGAGACTTTGGACCAGTGGACTTTCCCACCCTTCACTGGTGGCTACGATGGTAAGTTCTTGTACGGAAGAGGCGTGTCTGATTGCAAGGACTTGCTTATCGGATTGCTCGAGACCGTCGAGCTTTTGCTCACCGAGGACAAGTTCTCGCCAGAAAGAACGATCATTTTGGCCTTTGGCTATGACGAAGAAGCCGGAGGTTCCGGAGCTCAGAAGATCTTCAAGCACTTGGTGGGTAAATACGGCCCCGACTCGATGCTTCAAATTATTGATGAGGGTTCCTCGGGATACCAAGAGATGGAGGGTCTCAATGTGATTTTGCCTGCCACTGGCGAGAAGGGTTACGTTGATTCCTTCATCGAATTGTACACTCCAGGAGGTCACTCTTCTGTGCCACCTAAGCACACTTCTATCGGAATTTTAGCTAAGCTTCTCAGTGACATCGAGGATGCCGAGTTTGAGAGTGTCATCACCAATGCTAACCCTGTCTTGAACCAGTTGCAGTGTTTGGCAGAACACTCTCCATTGATTGACAATGACTTGCGTAAGAACATTTTGAAGGCCCATTTCGACACCAAAGCAAATGAGGCTCTTTTGAAGTACCTCAGGGCTCAAGTCTCCCAGAAGTTCCTTGTGACCACCTCCCAAGCTATTGACATCATTTCCGGTGGTGTCAAGTCGAACGCTTTGCCTGAGCACGCCTCTGCATTGGTGAACCATAGAATTGCCGTCGAAGAGCTGGTCAAGTCGACGTCTGAAAAGGTCTTGGGACAGATTAAACAGATTGCCGAGAAGCACGAGTTGGGCTTGATCTTTGAAGGTCAGACAGTCTACGAGCCAACCGAGCACGGCTACTTCAACTACACTCTTAGACAAGGCTTGGAACCAGCTCCAGTGACACCTACTCAAGACGAAATCTGGAACTTGTTTGGCGGTTCCCTTCGTCACTTCTACGAGGACGTCGTTTTCGCTGGCGAATCCAAGGAATTCGTTTTCGCCCCATCTCTTATGACTGGTAACACCGACACCAAGTGGTACTGGGACTTGACTCGCAACATCTTCAGATACGCACCAGGTCTTCCAAACCCACACCTGAACATTCACTCGGTTGACGAAAAGACCAATTTCGACGGACACCTTCTGATTATTGCTTTCTACTACAACTACTTGCAAGTTGTTGATCAGCTTGCGCAGTAGTGGGGTTTTAGTGTATAGTGCGATGCTCATCGCTATCGAAGCGCACCGTAATACAATTCTACCTTTTACTTTCTTAGCATCATCATAATTAGACATCATGCCAAGTGAATTGGAAGAACTTGTTGGCTTCTTGCATTCTCCTCAACCAGCCGTTGTCCAGATTGCCTTGGACAACTTGGTCGGCTACTCCACTGGACCTCAACAGAAGGTCTTTGCCTATGATAACTACACTGCCATCACAGACCTCAAGAAGCTTTCCAAGGACTCGGGTAAAACCACGGTCAGTCAGTCAGTCACGATTTTGGCCAACCTCTGTGATGACGAGGCAATGAGAAAGCTTATCGTCGATGATGTCGACTACCTCAGCTTCTTGGTTTCAGAAATCACTAGACTTTCGAATACAGCTACCGACTTGATGTGTATTCTCCTCGCAAACTTGGCCAAGAACGACTCCATTACAAAGATATTTGACATCACAGTTACCAGAAGTGATGAAGCCAAGAAGGTTTTCGCTTCCGACAACGCCATGGACTGTTTGATGGACTGCTTTGTCAAAGGTGCAGACCGCAGCTTGAACAAGTATGCTGATTTTGACTATCTCGCCTACTTCTTTGCTGATATTTCCCGTTTTAGAAAAGGAAGAGACTACTTTGTCACTGAGCAGGCCTACGACGGCGTTGTGCCTATCTCCAAACTTCTCGTCTTCACTGAAAAATACGACTCCAAGGTCAGACGTGAGGGTGTTGCTTCCACCATCAAGAACTCCCTTTTTGATGTCGAGAAGCACGAGCCTTTGGTGAAGGACGAGAACATCAACTTATTGCCATACCTCTTGTTGCCAATTGCTGGTCCCGAGGAGATAAGCGAGGATGAGATCTTCGACCTCCCAGAAGAGCTTCAACTTTTGCCTCCAGACAAGAAGAGGGACCCTGAGGAATCCATCATCTGCACACATCTCGAGTCGTTGCTTCTATTGTGTACCACAAAGGAATTGAGAGAGCACCTCAGAGAGAAGGCTGTCTACCCATTGATTAGAGAACTTCACAAAGCAGTCAATTCAGAGGCCATTGCTGATCTTTGTGACAGGTTGGTGCAGCTTTTGATGAGAGACGAAGCGGCTCCAAAGGCAGAGGACGATATGGATGTGGAGAGTGATGAGGATGACGATAAGATCGTGGAGATCGCTTAGGTAAATAGTCGGGTGTATCATTAAATGCTATACAAAGAGCGCAAATTTTCACTCTTATTCTTCTTTGAGGCGAAGCTGTCCGTCCACCAATTTGAGATTAGTTTTGACAATGCTGATGATCCGGAGCTTGTTGTCTTTATGCATGCTTATTCTGTGTTTCAATTTCAACAAGAGCTCCTTGGTTGCCAAAGGTTGTTTCCTCACAATGTCTAACACCTCTCGGGTGGTTACCAACTCGCCGTTGGCACCTGGGTCCTCCAAATTGGTTCCTCCAGGAGCCTCTGGGACTGGCAGGGCACTAGCACTCTTGGCGGTGGGAGAATCTTCTCTGCGCTGTTTCTTTGAGGCACTATGGGACTCAACAGAGCGAGCACGCTTGCGAATGTGGGGATTCCATTCACCTGGTTGGAATCCTTGCAAGAATTGCTTAGAGGCACGAATCACGACAAAGCCATCATTGATGCTCGTAACATACATCGTACGAGGCCTGTTAATGGCTTGGTCGGATAAGCCGTCGGTGGGTTCCTGTTTGACTGTGACTTCCGGCTCTGATTCTTCCTCGCTCTCCAAATCCGATTGAGAAACATATGGGTTTTGAATCTCATTGTCGTCACTGTCATAAACACCACCTTCAGTCTTATGTAGCACCTTCTTGAGCTTCTTGCCCTCTTTGTCAACCTTTCTTGACTTTTCAACCTCAAAGAGATCATTTATCTCATCGTCACTATCTTCAACATCTAGCTGGCCTCCCAAATGAGCTGCCTTCAACATCTCCTTCTTCATTTTCTTCTCAGACAACTTGTTGTCTTCCTCGGCACCGTCCATGATAGGAGCCTCCTCATCGTCTGCGAATTCCTCGTCGAAATCCAACTCATCATGATCTGAGTCACGATCATTGAGGGATGAGCCACCCTGGACCGTACGCATACGCGAGTTGGCAGAGGCGCTTCTAGCAGATGGGTTGACTGGCGACCCAAACTGATTGCTGGCACCATTGCGCTTGAATCTACGATCAGAACTTTCACCCTCATCCATGTGCTTCATGAGCCAACGAGGAGCAGATTGGTTCTTCTCCATTTTGGCTTCGGCCTCTTCTAAGGTCAAAGTTGCGTACTTGTTTCTAGGCGTGAATCTGTAGACCTTTTCAGCTGGAACCATCTTGAAACCGTCCTTGTCAAAGACGAAAAGAACATGAGTACTATCGGTCAGACCACCTTCGTAGTTACCCACGAAAACGTTCTTTCCGTCGTAGTCCTCGATGACCCAGGGATAGTATTCTTCATAACGGAGCTTTCTTTTCTGCTCGTCCATCATGTGAACCTGCTTAGTCTTTCTCTTAAACATGTTCCTGCGATGTTTACGAGCACCGCCATCTGGGGCCACCTGGGACATGTCCATTTTAGTAGCAGTGGGTTCTCCATTTTCATCCAAGACAATCTCCTCTGGGTCTTGCAACAAGTCCACTCCTCGTTCCTTGCCTTCTTTCTTTCGACGATCAATCTCTTCTCGCGTGAGCTGGAACTGGATATTCCTAGGGTCTTTTCTGTGTAGTCTGACAGGCTTTGTAAAGTTTTTCATAATGTCAACGTCCTGTTTTGTCTGGAACTTCATGATATGGTTCCTAGTGTCTTGCAAATCGTTCTGAGTGCAAGCCTTCAAAGGAATCATATTCCAGTCGCCTCCAGCAGCAGGCCTTGGAGCAGGCAGCATTTGGGGAGACTGATTCTCCTTCTTGACGCCTGGCTCTCTCTTCACCGGTGATTGACTCATATCCCTCGAAGAAGATGCTGATTAAGGTACAGTTGATACTACGATTATAGTGTTCGCACACTTTATACACTACACTATGGTAACGGCTGAGGGGCACTGGATTTTTCATTAGAGCCTATCAGTTTAGTAGATTTCTGGATTTCAAAACATAAGAGAATTTGCTGTCGAAAATGTTGCAATTGGGCTTTCTCAATTGGTATTCGAAAAGAACTTTCTGGAAGTGTGCAAGGTTAGAATTGAGTAAAAATAATGGCTGCGAAATTCAATCGCATCGCAAGTCCATGATAGGAGGGATATACTGACTCTAGAAGTCCAAACAATTATTTCTAAAAATATTGGTAGTTCACTTCTGCTAGTGATTATTCAATTATGATTTGTCCAATTTTTCTTTTCACTCTTTTGTCGTCTGGCCTCTTCCATCCTCAATTCTCGGTAGGCCAGTATTTTGCACCCAAATACTATACTACATGAGATAGTCTAGAAAAACAGAAAATTTCAATTTAGCTTCTTTCAGTAGTTTACCTCTCTGGTGGTATTAAACTTGCCTTTTCGGGCTGAAAGCGTGACAGATATTTTCTGTAAACGTCCTTATACCTACCTTCCTTGGTTGACCTAGGCATGACGATACCAAATATGTCATCCATATCAAAATATGGAAGCCCAACTGCCTTGAATATTTAATGCAAGCTCTTGTCCATCCGCAGATTATCAGTACACTAATTTTATTATCATGACCAATTTGAATCACACCATGGCTTACCAGCCTCCTCAGAGTCATACTGCCAGAATTTCCCACACCACAGAAGATCTTCCCCATCCACACATCGAAGGCTATGATCATGCCAAGATCATTGGCCGCCTTCAAGAGAGCTTGAAAAGGGATCGTTCTTTAAAGGCCTCCATGAAGAGAGGTAGTCGAGCTGTCATCGATGTAGCTCAATTGATGCCGCCATTTGCAGACGAAGAGCGATTGGATATCAAATATGGGTTCAAGTACCATATTAAAGAGCTCTTCAAACACCCAAGGGCCGAAATCAAGTTGCTCAGTGACAAGTTTAAGCGCAAGATGTTTGCCTTTGCAGATGCGCCCATGCCTTGTAGAGGGTTTAAAACTAGCACAAGGAAGCCCAGAAGCTTTGCCAGACAGAATTCTGGTGGAATTTCTCCTCATAAAACTTCCCCACAAAAACCAGCAAGAAGTCCACCCAAAGAGGCACTACACTTTGAGAAGCTGTTTTTCCAAACTCGCAATAGCTTCCTGACCGAAAGATCCTATGGAATGAATCCAGTCACTCTAACTCATTGCAAACAATCCCCAAGCTCGTTACCTCCTTTTGATGGGCTCCAAGAGGAATTGAAGGTGTTTGACCACCTACCAACCGAGCCAGATAGTTTCAAAACCCTCGAAAAGTTTGTTGAGAAGCAGCTGATGCTCTGCTCAAGCTCGATAGTACGGCCGAAGCTGTGTGGATTGCGTCCAAGAAGCATTAGGCCTGCTGTCTTTTATGGCACCCCCAGAAAAAAGCTCTTCCTCAGAATTGATCAAATTATATCTTGTATTGAGCAGGAGAAGACCCTAACAGACCATTGCAACAAAACGACTCAAAGACACCGAATCGATGCTCTCTTAGCCGACTTGAGCTCAGAACTCGATACCTTAAACGGCAAGGTGAACCAAAGGCTTCTTGAAATATCCAAAACCTACATCAATTACAGTCTGACGATGATGCGTTGCCTGAAGATGATGAAGGAGCTATTCGAGGATCATATTATTTTTCGTCAGAAAATGATAAAAGAGTTCACAATCAACGGTGACTTCAAGGGCTCCCCATCCACACGAAGAGCTCTCACGACGCAACTAACCACCCTACAGTCATTGACTTTCCAGATGTACTCCATCCACAATCAAATAGCTGCTCGCCGAATCAGACTATGTGGAGATCTTCGAGTCTTGAGCACAATTGACTCGAGGATTGAGGAGTATTACAAGGAGATTGCCTTGCTCCACCCATCTTTCAAAAGCTTGAGAAGGAAATCAAACAGCATTCGGCGACACGGTTTCCGGCCCTTCAATCGGGCAATTCTTGACCACTGCAAATTCTGTGGAGAGGCATTTCAGGTTATTATTCCTCTACGAGATCGGATCGTTAGAGAGATGGAAGACCTCTATGCGGCCCTAGTTCGCTTTTGAGTGGGACAATGTGAAGCTTCGTTGCAATGCAATTGACATGTGTCAGAAGTACCCTGAAGCGTTATTCCATGCTGACCCCATAACGGTAATTAAATTGTGAAAATACCATCAATACAAAAAATAAACTAACATGCCTTGTAGAAATGTAGTTGTTAGGGTCTCGAGGCACCTCGCTTATTGTAATGAGGACTTCCGCTTGGCCGCTATAATTTTCAAAACTTTTTTAGAAAAAGAATGAGAAGTTTTCATCCCAGTTAAATACCTGCTCTTGTTCAAAAACTAAAATTCTCCCTTTTTTGTCCTTTGGTGATTCACCCTCTCGCTAATTCCGTTTTGCAGCCTCTACCGGCAGCGCGAGGCCGGTACCGGCGAGTTTTTCACCGATATGCACCGAGTCAGTGTGAAAGTGTCAACCACAACCTGCCACTTCAAACATGACTGAACATGAAGAAAAGCCGCCTCCTCCAAAATACCTAGGCTTTGTGGCCGGTATGTTTTCAGGCGTGACGAAAAACGCCGTCGGGCATCCATTCGACACGGTCAAAGTGAGACTACAAACGTCAGAGGGCAGGTTCAAGGGTCCCATGGACTGTGTTTGGCAGACCTTCAAAAGCGAAGGTATCAAGGGATTTTACAAAGGATTCACGCCTCCTTTGGTCGGCTGGGTCCTTATGGACTCGGTGATGCTTGGATCACTTCACCTATATCGAAGACTCGTCAAAGAGAATCTCTACCCTGAAGAAAAGAAGTTACCGCTTTCAGGTCATATCATTGCTGGCCTAGGGAGTGGCTGGACGGTGTCGTTTGTAGCTGCGCCAATAGAGCAGTTCAAGGCGAGACTACAGGTCCAATACGATGCTAAAACCAGAATCTACACTGGTCCGCTTGATGTGGCTAAGAAGCTCTGGAAGATCTCGCCATTGACATGGTACACTGGTCTTTTCAGTACCATGGTCTTCAGAACCAACTTCATCTTCTGGTGGGGCTCATATGAACTCATCACCAACTGGTTCAAAGACAACACCAAGATGTCGCCAGCAGCGATCAACTTCTGGTCTGGCGGTCTCTCTGCAACAGTGTTTTGGATTTTTGCCTATCCTGCTGACGTTGTCAAGCAAACCATCATGACTGACAGTCCATTGAAAGAGCACAAAAAGTACCCTCGCTACACAGACGCTGTGAAACACATTTACCGTGAGAAAGGACTCGCAGGTTTCACCAGAGGTTTCGGCCCATCCATCTTGCGTTCGTTCCCTGCCAATGCGGCGGCACTTGCTGCCTTTGAGGCCGTCATGAGGTTCTTGCATTAAACTGTCTTCAATTCCCCTATTTAGATTCATTATAGACTCACTTCTCGAGGTTTTCCAGCACCGTAGCTTCCAGCGCCTCAGTGTTCGTTTCCCATGGCTTGCGTCTGATGGGAGCCTCTGACTTTGAGCTTTGTTCGGGCAAAACCGTGTCTGGGATTTGCTTGATTCCAGGAACAGGCTTGCCCGAGACAATGAGGTCGACAACGTGCTGGTAATTGTTTGAATAAGGCGCCTCTGCCGCTTCAGCAGGTGCAGACTCAGGCTGGGACTCAGACTCGTCCACATAGGTGATTTTACCGCCATTGTTTCTCTTCCAGGCATAGTAGTCGTCAAGGTTCAAAATATTGCCCGTGTGCGAGCAAAAGAAGAAGGACTTGGCCTGGTCAATGAGCTGTTGTTTCTGAGGAGCTGGGATCCTGTCAACTGTGGGGTCAGATTCCTTGAGCTGTTCTAGGTGGCCCTGAAGAATCTCAGAAAGGCCATCCTGGAATTCTTTGAAAGACTCCCAGTCGTAGTTGTCGAACTCTATGTACACTTTTTCTTGTGGGTCCGCCATTATGGAGTAGTAAGTCAATACTTAATCGCAGCGCGACTTGAAAGTGTAAGTATCACCGCCAGAAATCACCATGAAAATCACCACAGAGCAGCTCTTCATATTGGGTGTTCTTTTGAGAATTGGCTTCTTCTTGTTTGGCCTCTTCCAAGACAAGTACATGGCCGTGAGGTACACAGACATTGACTATGTCGTGTTTTCAGACGCTGCTAAGTATGTGGCAGATGACAAGTCGCCCTATCAACGAGAGACCTATAGATATACGCCAATGCTTGCATGGATTCTTCTTCCAGTGACGTTCGGTGGAAATTGGGTTCATTATGGCAAAGCTCTCTTCATGTTGTGTGACATTATTACAGGTGCCCTTATCACAGAGATCGTCAAGAAAGAGACTCCAGGTTCAAGCACAAAAGACACTTTCTTCCAGAGAAACAAAACCACGATTCTCTCAGCCATTTGGCTTCTCAATCCCATGGTCATCACAATCAGTACTAGAGGATCGTCTGAGAGCGTCCTTTCCTGTTTTATTATGCTCGCCGTTGCCAATTTGTTCAGAGACCAGTATATCATGTCTGCCCTTTTCCTAGGATTGTCTATTCACTTCAAGATATACCCAATCATATACTTGCCATCAATAATGTTGTTTCTCGCTTCGAAAAAACCCCTGTTGATCAAAGCATGGCAGAACATTCCTTTCCTCGGGTGGGTCAATACCGCCAACTTGTCGTATCTTGTTGCAACATTGGTATCGTTTGCCGTCCCAACGTACCTCATGTACGATTTTTATGGTTATGAGTTCCTCTACCACTCATACCTTTATCACTTGACCCGGTTGGATCACAGGCACAACTTCTCATTATACAACTTGGCCCTCTACCTCAAGTCTGCTCAAGATTATTTGCCTCAAAACCTCGACTCAGAGAACTTCCTCACTATTGCTCTTCAAAGCATCGAAAAAGCAGCTTTTGCTCCCCAGATCGTCCTTTCAGGGTTGGTTATTCCACTCGTTTTGGCCAGGAGAAACCTTACTGCATGTTTGTTCATCCAAACCCTTACATTTGTCACTTTCAACAAAGTCATGACATCGCAGTACTTTATCTGGTTCCTTATCTTCTTACCAAGCTATTTGGCTACCTCCCAATTACTTTCGAAGCTGAATGCAAGAAAGGGAAGTCTCATGCTCCTTCTTTGGATTGCATCTCAAGGTATGTGGCTTCTTTTCGCATACAAATTGGAGTTCCTCGGCGAGAGCACATTTACCGAGCTTCTCTTTTCATCGTCCATTTTTTTCCTCGTTAATTGCTGGCTCATTGGTGAATTTATCGCTTTAGCGTAATAAATGGTTGCAAAATTGTGCACGTGATTTAGTTCACGTGCGAGATACGCCAGTTCTATCACAGCGACTGAGATGAGTTGGAGAAATCTCAAGCCTAATAATAATCAACACTAGCATCAATGTCTCGCATGGAATTATATTCTCCCGAAGGGCTTCGGATTGACGGAAGAAGATGGAACGAATTGCGCCGTTTCGAGTGTCAGATAAACACGCATCCACACTCCTCTGATGGATCATCATACGTCGAGCACGGCAACACCAAAGTCATGTGTATTGTTAAAGGTCCAATGGAGCCACGTACGAGGGCCCAGCAAGACCAAGACAATGCCACGCTAGATATCAACATCAATGTTGCCAGTTTCTCAACGTTGGAGAGAAAGAAGAGAAGCAAGAACGAAAAGCGCCTTATTGAGCTCAAGACCACCCTTGAAAGAACCTTTGAGAAGAGTGTTCTAACGCATTTATACCCCAAAACACTCATAGAAATCAGTGTTCAGGTTCTCGCACAGGATGGTGGCATGTTGGCGACCATTACTAACGCCATCACATTGGCACTTATAGATGCTGGTATTTCCATCTACGACTACGTTTCTGCCGTCACTGTTGGCCTCCATGACCAAACCCCCCTTCTAGACCTCAATACATTGGAAGAAGGAGATGTCAGCAATTTGACTGTTGGTGTTGTGGGAAAGAGTGAAAAGTTGGCCATGTTGCTCTTGGAAGATAAGATGCCATTGGATCATTTGGAGTCTGTGCTAGGCATAGCCATTGCCGGTAGTCACAAGGTCAGGGAGTTGCTTGATGAAGAGGTAAGGAGACATGGAAACAAAAGATCAGCAAAGCTACAAGGTTAAGTTCAAGGTGTGATACAGAGAGCAGTTTGCTCTTTTCTGGCATGACCCTTTGAAACGACACTTTAGCAGGAAGGTTTCAGTTTTGAAAGTCTCAAAATCAAGAGAATAATGGAATGCCTTACCCGATAACTATAGCTCCCTACTACGCTACAAGCCAATCTTTTGGAAGACATGAGGACGACAAGCATGCATAGAAAGTAAACGAATAGAATAACTTCAAGGTCTACAGTTGCATTTTAATACTTTTTTTTTTTTTCTATTTTTTCAACTTTTTTTTTTTTTTTTTTTTTTTTTTATATTAATTTTAACTTCATGATCCTAAAACAAATGGACCAATCAGTACAATCGAGCAAACATAAGCTTCATTAGCATGGGTAACACCAACAAAAAGCCGCAAAAACGTTTCTTGGTATTGGTGATGGTGTAGTCCCACACAGGCCTCGAGGCACTGACGGCTGGTTCATTCCACAAAGCGAAAAAGTCGGTGGGGAAGTATTCCGACTGATTCTTGGGGAAAGTGAGAGCCTTGAAGCCAGCAAAGTCACCAGGTAAGAAGGAGACATTCTCCTTTGGGTAGAATACCTCCTGAGCCTTGAAAAAGTCTCCAGGAAGGTACGTGACATACTGCTTTTGGGCCAAGGTCAGCATGAAGAATGGGAAGTCGCCGAGCCAGAACTCAGTATTGTTCTTGGGCTTCAGCAAATGTGTTTCAGGCCCAGGTACCTTGGTGTCAAGTTCCAAAACCACGGTTTCAGGTTCTGGCAACTCGGATTCAGGTTCTGGCACCTCGGGCTCTAAAACCTCTTCTGGCTGTTCAGGCTCTGGAACCTGCTCGGGTTCTGGAACATGTTCGGGCTCTGTAACCTTGAAATCGGAACCCAAAATCTCGACGTTTCCCAGGAACTCGAAGACATCCTCTCCATCATCCTCCAAGCGGTCAGACTCATCGTCATCCACCTGAATAAGCATGGTAGAGAATTCGTTACTGTAGTTGGGCAAGTAGTGGCCACGGACCTCGAGCTCCTTGACGTTCCAGTAACGACGTCTGAACTGCTTTGGGGTAGGAGGCAAGCGAGTGTTGGACAATCTCAACTTCTCTCTTGCAGCCTCTTCAGCTTCCTTAGCAGCCTGTTCTGCAAGCTTCTGCTCAGCTTCCTTTGCAGCCTGCTCCGCTTGCCTTGCGGCTTGCTCTCTTGCAGCTTCTTCTTTTGCAGCTTGTTCCTTTGCAGCTTGTTCCTTTGCAGCTTGTTCAGCTGCCATTGCAGCTTCCTCGGCAGCCATTGCAGCTTCCCTTTCTGCCTGCTTCTGGGCCTTCTTCTCGGCCTGCTTTGCGGCCTTTCCTGCCTGCTTAGCAGCCTTTCTAGCTGCCTTTTCCTCTTGCTTCGCAGCCTTGGAAACCCGGGTTTGGGAAGGTGGAGGACACTCGGAATCCTCCTTGGTTCCAGCTTCCTTCGCGTTTGTGGAAACTGGAACGGTCTTCAGAGTCTCGACAAGGAAACTCTGGGAACTTTTTGGGGAAGGTTTTTCTGTGGGAGAAGACACAGAGACCTTGTCGTTGTTTAAAGCCTTCTTGGGGGAAGGTGCAGAAACCTTTTCGTTGTTTGAAGACTTTTTGGGGGAAGGTGCAGAGACCTTTTCGTTGGTTGAGGACTTCTTGGGGGAAGTGGTTTTTGGTGGGCAAATAGTAATTCTAACGGCCTTGTTCGAGGCCTTTGAAGTACCCACATTGGTGGAAGCCACGGAGGCTTCAGAAATTGGCTTCTTCTCAGAAAATTCTGGAACCGGCTCAACGGTCTCCAGGATGACTGGCTTGAGCTCAGGAGCTGGAGGCTTGTCTCTCTTCATATGCTCCTTCACAAGGCTTTCCTTCTGAGCCCTCTTCCAGTTGTAGCGCTTGAATTGCAGCAATCTGTACTTATAAAACTCCTGGGCTTGGTGCACAGGGTTCCAGGTACACTTTTCCCTGAGGTAGTTGAAGTAATCGAACTCCGCTGCATCCCAAGGAAGGTCAATCACTGCGGTTTCGTGGTCGACCCAAATGGAGCCATTTTTTTCAAAAGTGGCATTTCTGAAGTCCCTGGGGAAATGGACTCCGCAAATTCTGATACACTTTTCGGTACACATTGTTGTCGTTGCTTGTCGTTGTTGCTTGTTGATACTCGTTGATGTCGAAGACTGATAAGCTTAAAGGTTCCAAACTTTTTTGTTCAGAACTGTGGTGGTCAAGTAGATGAAGAAGAAAACAAAAACCGGCGGGAACCACCTCTATTTATGTTCAAACGGATGGCTGGTGGCCCTCCTGTGAAGCTAATGAATGACCGTCAAGGTCACGAAAGAGCCATAAATTGACTGGAGTTACCTCTTGGAATTATCAGGACGTGACATCTACGATATTTTCTACCATTGAGTCATGCCTTTGGCGTAATATTTATCTGCTACACTTGGACCTTCCATAATGGCTGCGAAAACGTCATGCGAGACGCTTATCTTATCTTGCGTTTTACTCCTTTGGAAGAATATTATTTCAAACCAGCCATTAGAGTCATGAAAGAAGAGAATGGAATCTTCGAAAGGTCCGATTAGGTCAGATAGGGTGGAATATTTTTTGTTCTTATGATTTGAAGCATTTTTATTATTTGCCCAAGTGTGCAAACGAGCAGCGACGAGGGCAGAGAGCTCAAACTATTTTGCATCATTCAGGAGGTCAAGAAGTTCTCTCAATAGTCATGATGCCCAGGGATTCACAATGGGTAAAGTTTGATTTGCTTGATTCCATATCTTATCTCGACCAGTTGTAGTGAACCTCAATTCTGTATAAGTCAGTCTATCGCCAAGTCGAGGTAGCGAACGCCTTTACCGAAATAATATTTTTGAGCCACTGAACTCAGTCATGTAGGTTAATCATAAAAAAGATTGGAGTGATAGTATTTTTGCTGTTCCCCTAATGGGTGTGATTACTACGTGCTCTGCTTCAGTGAAGCCTACGCCATTGTTCCAGGGTACCTCCATCAATCAGCTGCTCTATCGTTCTGCAATTTTCATCGTATTCCATGTAAGGACGTGTTTACGCTAACACTCCTCTTTTCCCAACCATTCAACTCCCTTCTAAAAAAGCTCTCTACCAAGTTGAACCTCAGTGCCCCGACATCTCACGAAATGGTTGCAAATGCGTCACATCCTTGCAGAATTATCAACTTACCGGTGAAAAAGTAACACCATAACATCCTACGTTTCAAACTTCTACCACTCTAATTCCACCAAGCCAAACAGCCTCAAGGCCAAATTTCACTCGGACTTTGCCGTCCCTGATTCACCGTACTACAAGCGAGCGAGCCGCTGTCATGTGCTTGGCATGTGTCACTTTTGGCAGCCAACGGCAATTCTGAAACACTTCCAGTTCCTACCGAAAGAAAAGCGCCAAAATCGCTACCTCTCCCCTAACTTTCACCAAAATTGACCCTAACTCAAATCATCTTCACAATCTGCCTCGGCACCCCGCTTTTCATTATTCACCGGCCAGGATTCCAATTACGGTGCGCACATAAACATGGCAATCTGTCTGGACCTGCTTTCGCACGACCTGGGCGTATAGTAACACGGTAGTTTTTTCGAAGCCGTACACCTGCATTGTGGGTGACTTTCGAATCATACCGGTTGTGATTTCTCTCCACGTAATCGAACTTCGTCCACATCAAAAAAAGTCTGGGTTCCGCTGCAAGTCGCGCTTGTTCCAGAAACTCTCACCCAAGGTTTGCCCGTTTATCTTCATATAGGCGGCTGCTCCACACCGAAACTTGCATTTTATCCTGAATCACTAGGTGGCCTTTCTCGAATCACCAACGTCTCCATACCCCAATGTCATACAGAGGGCAAAATCAGTTCAACAACCAGTTCAACGCTGGTCAATTCCAGCCCAACCAGTTCAGTCATGGCCAGTTCCAGCCAAATCAGTTTCAAGGAAACCAGTTCCAGTCCTCCGGCGGAAGACAATCGGTCAACATTGGCCCAGTGCCCTCCCAGCAGTCTCCTTTGGCCAAGGCCGAGGCGTTCCTTAAAAAGGTCGAGGACTTTTACGACAAGATCTTGAGCCCTTACAAGGGCTACATCCCAGCCATAGGGCGTCTTTTCATTGTCGCCACGTTCTACGAGGACGCCGTGAGAATCTTCTTCCAATGGTCCGAGCAGGTCTATTATTTGCATGTCTACAGAAAGTTCTGGAAGTGGCTCACCGTTCTGTTCCTCTTCTTGAACATCATCTTGATGTTGGCTGCTTCAACGCTCTTGGTCTTCAGAAGACATTCAATGTACGCTACCTGTGTGCTCACCGGAGTGGTGGTATTCCAAGGTTACTTTTACGGATTGATTAGCGACAGCCAGTTCTTGTTGAGAAACTTGTCCGTCGTGGGTGGCTTGATCTTGGCCTTCTCTGATTCCCTTGTGAGGGATAAGAGGTCCTTGAGCATGCCGGGCTTGCCGATGCTCAACAACAAAGACGAGAAGAAGTACTTTTTGTTGGCCGGCAGATTGTTGTTGATCTTTTTGTTCTTGGGATTCGTCTTTTCCGCAAACTGGTCCTTCGCTAGAGTGTTGATCATCCTTGTGGGACTTGTTGCTTGCGCATCCATTGTTGTTGGTTACAAGACCAAGATTGCCGCCGGAGTGATGACTGTTCTTCTCTTCACTTATAATGTCTTTGTCAACCAGTTCTGGAGATACTCTTCGCTGAACGCCAACCGTGACTTCTTGAAGTACGAATTTTTCCAGACCTTGTCCATTGTTGGTGGTCTTCTAATTATTGTCAACGCTGGCGCCGGTGAGTTGTCCATTGACGAGAAGAAGAAGATTTACTAAGTTCTCTTTTCAGAGCGTGCAAAAGACCCACAGTGTGGTTGTCAGCAATTGGGTCTGACAATCATCATTGTACCTCCTGTGCCAGACCTTCAAAGACGGCATCAAAGGTAAATAAAAATTACATAAAACTTGTCTTTAGACTATTAGTTCCCGTACTGTTACAATATGTGGCTCTCGATAGGCTACCCTTGCAGCGATACCTCCGTGCACCAATATGATTGCATCGCTACTGATTGTCTCATTTTATAACCTTGCAGAATAAAGACCAATACCATGGCAGACGAGTCAAAATGCCCTGTTGACCACTCTCAACGAAGCACATGGATACAGAAAATGGGAGGTAACCCTCATAAGGAAGCAGCTCAAGCTCAGGAAGCTACAGGTGCTGCTGAGGCGTGTCCTGTGGATCATTCGGCTAGAGCCAGATGGATGGAGAGTGTGAAGGTTTCAACGAAAGGAGCCCCAGAAGCGATAGAAGTTGACGGATGCACTTCAGACAAACTCAAGGAAGAGCCAAAGTTCGAAGCGAACTCCAATCTACCTCTAGAAAGAGAGATCAGCTCTATTCCTAGAACTGATACCAGGACAAACTGGATATACCCTTCCCAGAAGCAGTTCTTTGAGGCGATGAAGAGAAAGAAGTGGAATCCAGAGGCGAACGATATGCTGACAGTTGTTCCTATCCATAACCATGTTAATGAACTCGCATGGAGACATATTCTCAACTGGGAAAGATACAATTTAGAGTCGAGCAACCAGAAGTGTGGTGGCATCTCTTTGACCAGCTTTAAAGGTGACCTGAAGAAGTTAACTCCCCGTGCATGGATCAAGTCTTCGTTGTTCGGCCAAGAGAAGCCCTTCGACAGACATGATTGGACGGTCGATAGATGTGGAGTTGAGGTGCCATATGTCCTTGATTTCTACAGTGAAGGAGAGAAGGGTGGTGTTTTCGTTGATGTGAGGCCCAAGATCAACTCTTGGGAGGGCTTCAAGTTGAGGATCGGAAGGGCCCTCGGTTGGGCATGAGGAATGACCTTCTTGTAAATAGGAATATTAATGGCATTTTTGGATAGTTACATTGCAGTGCTTGCGGCATGTCTCAAAGATCATCACTATGTTTCGTAACTGCTTTATTTAAATAGTATGTACAGATGTCATCAGCAAAGTCTATCTTCTTCCCATGAACTGACCGGACTGGCCCAATTTTTGCATGTTCTCGCCAACCTGGACGTTGGTCTCAAAGTACTTCGAGACACATCTGTCTAAGCAGAGAGACTCCTGCTTGTTGAGGTCGCCCTCGGCGTATGACTTGTTGATACACTTGGTGTGACACTGCTCCACGAGAGAGTTGAACATGCCTGTGACCATGTCCAACTCGGACTCGGCAGCCTGGATTTTCTGTTGGGAAGACACTTGGGGAGCACCGGTGAGTCCGAACATTATGTGTTATATCGTCAATAGTATAGTTGCACCTGCAAAATTTTCGAATCTACTCGACAGTGAGACCTGGTGTACGGATCCCCATGGTGCACGAAGTAGTGTTCGCAGCCAAGAAGATCACATACTTGGATATGATAAATGACAGTGGCAGCCTGACATAATCACGTCACTCTTGAGTTCGTCTTTATACCTGTCGAAGTATTCCGCTTTTTCTGACACAAACTCCACCATGCCATGGCATAAGGTAATTTGTTTTCCTAGGATCGAGCACCCTCCGCCGTAGAACACCATTCTGGAGTTGCGGAAGTTGGGATTCCCCATGAGTAGGTCCATGGTTCTGCCCGATATGTTTTCTCGTAAATCGAAAAAGAATCTCATGAATATCCATGTTTGCGTTCGGAGATTCAATGCTGGTACCCTTAGTAAGTTCGGATTTGTCGTCGTGAGGGAGAATCTTGCGAGTCTGGAGACATCGTACCGGTCACTAACGTATGGCTCGGGGTCGAAATGTCTGAGGTAATCGTTCACAAAACCTCCAACGAAGAGAACATATTCTCTGTTGTCTTGCTCATAGAGAAGCGCATGGTGATGACAGGCACGAAGCTCGGCCTCCACCAATGGAGCATTGTTCGATGCTGCTTCTAAAGTGAGCTTTTCACATTGCTCATCTTCGAAAGGCTGTTTTGGTTCGTTGTAGTAGTCGTAAGCATAACTTTGCTGTCTGTGCCACTTGGAAGTGTTGAAGTTGAAGATGTAAATATCGCTGCAAACACGATTATTCTCATCCACACCTCCCTGGATCATTAAACCTCGCCTTCTTAAGAAATTATCAGTTGTTTGTGTGCTTGATCTCGTTGACTTTTCGCTGGTTGAGAGAACTTCCTGGTTTCCCTCAGTACGAGGCTTGGGGACGTCATCGGCAACGAGGTCCTGAGCAAGGGTCTGGAGTGAGCAAGACTCGTTGTTGGAATCCACGTTTACCAACACGTAGGCGAAGAAGCCACGCCTCGTCGGCCACATGGAATTTTTGTTGCGATCTGTGGCATCGAAGATAAGGGCTTCCTTGTGAAACTTTCCTGCTTGGCCGTCTTCAATAATAAGCTCGAGTCTCAAAAGATCATTAGTCGCTCTGAAAGCGGTTCTTTCATTCTCGTCAACGTATTTGACAAATCCACCGAACAAGAATACAGTGACCGAAAGCACACCTGATTCGATAGCTGAATCTTTGGCTGCGAACAAGCCTTCACCAGTCAGACCAGAGCCCAACGAGGTCGAGTCGTCCGGACTTAGCGTCCGTTCGACAGCTTTAGGCTTCTCGATTTTGAACGTTGTAGAATCGATCTTGACTTTGTCCACATTACCCGAGGCGCCACTCAGTAGTGACCCTTCATCACTCACAGTTTCAATGGACTCAGCCGTAAGTGCTGATGGATTATGAGGAGGAGACTGCGTCATATGTCTTGCTGGGGAAGTAGAAGGCGTGGATGCGCCAGACGCCCTGTGTTGTTTGACCTGATTAGTATAAGAGCTTTGAGGCACTGGGTTTGGACTAGGAGTGCCACCCCTTAGACTTGCCAAATTGTGCGTCTGAGTTTGAGCAGAGCTAGCGCTCAGGCTCTGAGAGCTTTGGCCTTGGCTGAATGCATGATTGTGGTGGTTTCTGTGGAATATGCGTGCTGACTTCATGAGCATAGAAGTCATTTTCAGAGAGCTTTCGGAGGCTGAGTTTGTGGGGGAAATGGCGCTGCCTGGAGCACGGCTCTCACTTGTTCTGCCAGAAGTCTTGCTTGATGATTTCGTCAGTTGGTCTGTGTTCTGGCGCGAGATTTGTCTGGATGTTGTAGGCGTTGAAGACCGTGCTCTGCTTATGGTAGAGCTTTTTGTTGATTCTGGCACCAGCTGGTAAGACTGTAGGCCCTTGGAGGGTCGGGGTTCCTTGAGAGTTGTGGTCTCTGGATTTTGCACTGGTGTTCGAGCTCGAACCGGGCTTGTAGGGGTGAGAATCTCTTCAGCCAACGGTGTAGTGTCTACACTGTTGTATGCAGCGGGAAGATCAGGCAGCACTAGTTTACTGGAATGCAACGAAGCTTTTTCCAACCGGTTAGATACCAAGGCATTGCCTATGGAACCATTGTAATGCACCTCTGAGTTTGACTTGATTTTGATCTGCGTGAACTGCTTCGTTCTCACGTCGAGGATAAAGCCGTACTCGTTGAGCCTGATGGACTTGTGAACGATCCACCTGTTGATCTCTTCCTTGTATTCCACCTTGTCCACATCGACATGGAAGCCACCGCTGTAGAAAACGTATGAATCAGCAATCATTGTGCCCTCCATAGCACAGATATCACCTGGATGAATCTCTGAGTAAAGTTTGATCGGGTTAGCCTGAACAGTGCCCTTCATGGCATCGAACAATATCATGTCGGTGTTCTGTGTGACACAGGGGGACATGAGAACATGTTTGTTGATGTGAGGGGGCAAGTCGTAGGGGAAGTAGACCGAAATTCGGGACAAGTCTGTCAGACGGGGGATACCGAGGCACCTCAAGCTTTGTCGGGTGTCGACCACCAAGCCACCAAACATCACGGTGAGGTTTTCCACATCAAAATGGGTCTGGTAGCAGAATTGGCCTGTTCCCTCAGACGTGTCTTTGCGGGGCTGCAGCGTGGAGTAGGAGAAGTTGGGAAGCTGGAAGTATCCAGAGAAGGACGAGGCATCCCAGTCACGCTTGAAGTTCTCGGCGTAGTCCAGCGTATCGTCCGACCGCTTCAGCAGCTGGCTGACAGAGCTCGATCTCGTATTTGAATGCGGTAGCGCCACTTTCTCCAACTGGACATGAGGGCTCAAGTACACCTCTGAGTTCATGGTTTGTCCAAAGTTGGCCCTGTTGAACTGCTCGAACGGAGCATACTTCACTAACGTGTACGGCGCAGGCATTCCATGGTACCAGTCCTTGGTGTGATTACTAGTAAACTCCTTGTCACGAGCTGCTATGGCCTGGAGTCTTAGGAAGTCCAGGTACTCCAGCAGACGGTCACCCTGGACCGTGGAAGGAGGGATGAGCATGACGCTGGGCCTGGTTCCTGGGGGATTGTGATTGGATGCTTTTTAGAAGCTACCAAATTGAGGGGAGAATTGGGGTGGAAAGAAAGGTGTAGTTTGGGATTAAGTTTGAAGACTGGGGTAGGGTGGAACGTTATTGATGTGCTTGAGAATGCTGCAGGAACCAGCAAACAATGGAACGTTTTGATCTGTGGCGCCCGATACGGGGGTCTGAGAAAAAAATAACAAAAGTGGCGATGAAGTGAATTTATGGGTTTGTTTTAGATGTGAATTTAATGCCCATTGAGGTTGGTTTTTGGTGATTGACTTACTGGGTTGGTGATCGGCCTAGAGATGGTTCGCATAGACACCTACAGAGGTTCAAGGGTATCATTAATTCGTACGTCATTAGTCGATAAGCATGGATTCAGCGTCCGTTTTCTCGTGCTCCGTTGTTCTAGAACCTGAGAGCGGGAGCCTGCTGTAGTATGTGTTCACAGACAGAAGCAACCCGTTGTTGTAGTTCCACACCAGCCAAGCCTCAAAAGCGATAGTGACAAAAAGAAAGACGAGGGTGATGACGGCGAAAGTGACCAAGGAGGTGCGGCCGGGGAAGTACGAGCCGGGCTCCAAGGCCACGTCGTAGGCGGAGGTGTATTTTGTGAACAAACGGATCGTCTTGAAAAGCACGTAGACTACTCCGCCACAGAGACAGCAAAGCGTGAATACACTGAGCCAAAGAAGCTCTCGTGTTGCGGCGAAATCAGCAAGGAATATCACCACAAGCGTAAGCGGGAGCATGCAACAGGTGAGAATGAATTCCTTGGATGTCTTGTCCGAGACCATCACCACGATGAACTGGACGGTGAAGCCCAAGAAGAAGAACAAGTCAAAGATTAAAAGACTGCGGTGGATCTGGAAAACCGTGTACATGCGCTTGATGGCGATGGAGGCGCCGATCTTCTTGAACTTGAACCACTGGACAGACCTGTTGAGCACAAAGTAGATCATGAACAGCTGCAACACAAAAGTTACCGCCAAGACGCCAATTGCAGCGATATTAGTGCCTCTGGCCGCCGCTCGCCACGCAGAAGAGTTCACCATGTTCAAGTTGGCTGACACTTCCTTGTACTGAATGCCAGTGTAGATGACCATGGTAGCGTAGAACAAGCACAAGAGCGAGAAAAGCAACATGTTCTTCGTGTGCTGGGCAATAACTGTCACCAACACCTGGTAGAAACCAGCAAAGATGAAAAGGGCAAGGAAAATAGACATCTCCATGTACCGAGCGTTCGATGGGAACTCCGTCCGGTGAACATTGATAACGCCATACATGAAGCCCTCGAGGCCCACGACAAGCAAAGCCGAAATCACAGAAATGGCCAAGCTGACCTGGGATCCTCGAACATACCGTTTGTCGTCTTCCTTCTGAGCATTATGGCCCATATACTGGCCTTGCTGAACAGCAGGCTGCACAATTGGCTCATATTCCGTATGTGAATCTAGAGACACCTTCGATATGGTCAGATGCTGATCTAGCGACAAATACGGCTGCGATCCGACTCGGGCATAGTCATATAGACTGAGGTGATCCTGAGATGGGATGGTCCCTAGTCCGGGACGAGCCGAAGAAGCCGGTCTGGATATCAACAGGTCATTGTCATCGATGGTATCCTCGACGGAGAGGTTTGTAAATCGCTTCATGGGTGAGGAAGGTGAAGAAAATTGGGGTCCGGCGGGATCATGTATTATAGACTTTTAGCACGACTTTTAGCACGCAGAGCATCTGCGGGACTGCGTCAGGAGGCAGAGGCTATGTCGTGCCCCAGATGACGAAGTTTGTGGAAAACGCAAGCACTTTCAGCCGTGCCGAGTCTGAAATTCCGTTGAGGGATTTTCTGTCTATGTTTATTTGGAGCAGCTAGGTGGACCTGGTCAGTCTGCTGGAAGCGAAAAACGTCCCACTCGCACGGACTCGGTGAGATCCAGACCCTTCTGAAAAAACATCTCCGTTCTCACCTGAAGCGAGCCACACGCTCAAGTAGGCAAAAACTTACGCCCACGACGTCATAGAAGCGCCGCTCAGACCAATCCAGAATAGTTTCGGGGGTCTTCCTCCAAAAGGCCCGCAGACTCCTCCGAGAGGTCGAGCCACGAGACCCGGCTGAAGTACTCGTCCTCCTCACTGGCCTTCTTGAAAGCCTCCATTTCCTTCTCAAGCACTAGGACACTGATGGCATCGTAGCCTCCTGCGCCAGGAACCAATCCGCCGACGCATCCAGGCAAACCGTTGCACTTGTCAAGCAACTCTGTCTGTTCAGGAGGCTCGATCTCGGCTCCTGAATGCTTCGTGACCTCTTGAAAGCCTCTTCTGATCTGTGCAATGGCTCTTCTAAGCAGCTCTAGCGTCGCTGGATCGGCCAACAACGTATCGTAGTCTCTATTCGTCTCGCTGAGGTTGTGGAGCTGCTCCAACGACCTGACAAAAGCCTTGTTGCCCTGGTTGAGATGCTCGTACCAGATAGCGCTTTCGGGATCCAGCTGCTTCCATGCGAGCACCTTGGAAACGAGTTTTGGTGTCTCAGAACCAGCACTCACGTCACCCATGAGGAGCTTGATTCCCTTGGGAAGCGAACAATGCGTGTGTGTGAAGCTCCAGTTGGAGTCGACGGCTTCACGGAGCTCCGAGCAGAGTTGTCTGTCCAGGTCTCTGCCGAGAAGGTGGTTGAAAACCTCGGGCTTGAAGCGTCTGTAGATGATGGAGCCGTAAACAGCAGCAGCAACGTCAAAACCGGAGCCGATCTTCTTCTGAGCTTCACAATGGGCGATTTGGGCCAAGTTGTGGATCGTGTTTCTCGTGTAGTTGAGCGGCTGCTTCAAGAAATGACTGAAAAGGGCTGCAGTAACCACCGACACCAAACCAGCAGAAGAGCCCATACCCGTCTTGGGCACCTGGTCAATTGGCTTCTGGTGAAACAAAAACGACTTTCTACCGTTCAGAGAGTTTTTAGCCGACGTGCCCTCGGTGGTATGGTAGCCTGGATCGGAGAAGAGCGTGATCTTGACGTCAAAACGGTCCGAGGGTAGTAGGTAGTTGAGCACAGTCTTGACGGTGGCCTCGAGGAAAGGGTTTTTTCTTCCCTGGGTTTCAGCAAAAGCAGGAGCGTCGTCGCTGAGCTTCACGGTGTACTCCCATTCTCCACCAAACTGTGGTGACGAAATGTAAATACGACAATCTGAAGACTCCACCAGCTGCACATGGGCGTGCATTCTGGACGAAAGTGCCGTAACATATGCTTCGTATTGAGGGTCAATGACCAAGTAGCCGCCTGCAAGGAGGGCTTTTCCTGGAGCACTGAAAACGTGGGCCATTAAGAAGTGGTAAGTGAAGTGGTGAGTTTTCGCGATGGTAGTGAAGGATGGATCAGACGAGGTAGATCTGTGGCTCTTTTTGCGGGCATGGTGCATTTGCTATAAACTAGGCGAAGATCTTCGGGTGATTTTGGGGTTTTGCAATTTTCGAGAATTGGTCTATTTATGCTTTTCGTTGTTGGCCAATGAGCTGGTCTTGGTGGGGTGATATATGGCTGCAGATATAGTGACTGAGCTGCTGGAACACCTAAAGATTTGAAGTGGCCGAGAAATAAAAACCTTCTTGTCTGTTGTTTTTATACTTCCGTCTTCAAAGCCTCTGGAGCACTATCTCCACGGTCTCGGCAGCAACGGTGGCTGTGGTACATGCAAGGGTGCACTGAAGGTCTGTGTTTTCTGCTACATGGCTGGCTCGAACCACATTCCGGTTGGGGCTTAACGATTTGACATAATATGGGGAAAAATGACAAATTTCGAGACAAGCTGTTTCGGTGATTTGGCCGTGATGGTGTGATTTGCAGCCATTGGCTGGAGAGCGAAGTCGTCAAAAGGAAGCGGGCAGTTTGCAGATATGGTCAGCAGAAGGGTTTCGTGAAAAGTTACCTCCAAAAGGTGGAGTAGTAAATATGAAAGAAAGTCATGAGTGATGCCAAAAGAGCATTCAGTACTACTTGGAGCATCATCGGACATCGCCTTATGTAAGGAAGCGGCAAACAGCCCAAAACAACGGCATTTGTAGTTATCCCGTCCCCTCCGAAAATCGTATTTACTTCTCCATCCCATTCGTCACCAGCCCTTGTTTTTGTGGTAGGCTTATCTCGAAGCCATCTTTTCAAATGTCCGGTACAATGTCCGTAGCGAATACATCTAGAGACTCACTGATCTGCTGCATCGTAATCCACCAAAATGACAGACGAACAGCTCAAAAGTGAAAAAATCGTCGGAATCATCGGTCTAGGTGACATGGGTGCCATGTACGCCGAGCGGTTTTCCAAAGCCGGCTGGAAAGTCGTCGGAGCAGACAGAGAAGACAAGTTCGTGGAAACCAAGGCCAAGTTTGCAGGCCAGGCCTTTGAAGTTCTCCGTTCGGGACACCACGTTTCCCGTGTTTCCGACTACATCATATACAGCGTGGAAGCGAAAAATATCGGCGCTATCGTACAAACCTACGCTCCTTCTACTAAGGTGGGTGCAGTGGTTGGAGGTCAAACATCGTGCAAAGCTCCCGAAATCCAGGCCTTCGAGGAAGCAGTTCCAGAAGATGTGGATATCATTTCCGTTCATTCGCTTCACGGACCCAAGGTCGACCCCACGGGACAGCCCTTGGTGATCATCAAACAGAGAGCATCTGATGAGAATGTCAAATTCGTGGAAAGCCTTGTGTCATGCCTCAATTCCAAGGTTGTCCATCTTTCAGCAGCTGAACACGACAAAATCACCGCCGATACACAGGCGGTCACACACGCTGCCTTTTTGTCGATGGGCTGTGCATGGAAGGAGATCAACCAGTACCCTTGGGAAACACCACGATGGGTTGGAGGTATGGAGAACGCCAAGATGAACATCTCTCTTCGTATCTACGCCAACAAATGGCACGTCTACGCCGGTTTGGCCATCACCAATCCCTCAGCGCATGGCCAAGTCCAACAGTACGCACAGTCTGCTACTGACCTATTTACGTTGATGATCCAGGGCAAGAAAAAGGAGCTCCAGGAGCGTTTGTACGAAGCCAAGAACTTTGTGTTCAGACACAATCCAGACCACAAGAGCCTTTTGCTAGACGACGCCATTTTGAGCGAGTTTTCCTTGTCGAAAACACCCCCAGAAGGTAGACTGCAACCCAACTCGCATTTGTCGTTGATTGCCATTGTGGACAGTTGGCACCACTTGGGTATCGTGCCTTACGACCACATCATTTGCTCCACGCCGTTGTTCCGTATATTTTTGGGTGTCACGGAATACTTGTTCTGCACGCCGGGGCTTCTAGAAGACTGTATCGATGTGGCCGTCAGCGACCCGTCTTTCCGTCACGACGATCTCGAATTCACGTTTGCCGCACGTAACTGGGCCAATATCATTGCCAGAGGCGACTACGAATTGTACAAGAAGACGTTTGAGGAAACACAGCGCTTCTTTGAGCCCAAGATCGCTCACGCCAACGCTATCGGAAACGAGATGATCAAGACTATCTTACAGCGGGTGAAGGAGCGGGAGCAGTAAAATTATAATGCAGTATATGAGGGAGGGGCTCTTCGTCAGCGAAGGAGGAATTTATAAACCAGCTATATTACATGCCATGTAGAAGTGCAGTGTGGCAGAGTGGGAGCTTACAACTGCTCGTCCTTGATGACGTCCATGAGCCAGTCCAAGCCTTCGTTGAGACCCTCGCCACGGATGGCGCTGGAGGCCACTATACTCCAGCTTCTGTCCTTTAAATCTGTTAGACTGAGAGCCTGGGACACCTCGGCGGCAGTCAAGGCGCCAGGCTGGTCCTGCTTGTTGGCAAACACCAAAAGGGCGCTATCTAGCAATTCCTCCTCCTTGAGCATGGTGTGGAGCTCCTTGCAGGCAATGTCGATACGGTCTTTGTCGGTGGAGTCCACCACGAATATAACGGCAGCGGTGTTGCTGTAGTAGCATCTCCAGTACGGACGGATGGAGGTCTGGCCACCAAGATCCCATATGTTCAAGGTCAAGTTTTTGTATTTCAAGGTTTCCACGTTGAATCCGATGGTGGGCTTTGTAGTGACAACCTCACCCATCTGCAAGCGGTATAGGATGGTGGTTTTACCGGCACCGTCCAAGCCCAAGATGAGAATTCTGATTTCCTTCTGCACGCCCCAGAGCTTGCTGAAGATGTTCATAAAGCTGAATGTTTGGCCCATGATGTGTTGTGTAGTGGCGTCTGGGTAGATAGGCCTCAGCGAGTTGATTATTCAGATATGGACACATCTGTGATCCTACCGCATTGTTACCGCGCACGACTCCAGGGTCCATGGTGTGGGTTATAGAAGGAGAAGGGAAGGTGGGAGAGGGGGAATGGCTGTTTATTGAAAAAGAGGTGAAGGTTTTTTGGGGCTGGGAATTTTTGGAATTTGGAGGAGAGGGTGCTGTGGATATAGAGGGTGTATCTGTGAGGCCAGACTCACATGTAAAAGGCAGGAAGAGGGAACAGCAGGGGTGTGGCAAGGAGGGTGATCCAATTCGACCTTTCTTTCTGAAACTCCAAGATAATTGGTACTTTTTCTGAAATTACTGGTCTTTGCAAGTCTGCTTCTCTGATGTGCTGTGAATGGTTGCAAAATGGCGCGGCAGTATGTCTCAGCATGTAGCGGGTCTGGTCCTCAATCAATTCTCAAGGAATGGATCAAATTCAATTTGGCAAATATTCGAGATTGAGGCTAAAGCGCTAAATCCATAGAAAATACGCTTTTGTTCAATCCAGCGTTCTGTGCCCGGGGTGGCTGGTGCCGGAATACCCGAGCACTCAACCTTAATCCTACCGAGCCTCCTCATAACCACCTACCACCTAGCAAGCCAAAACCACCTAGCAAGCCGAAAGCCAACCTTCTACATCGCCCCTACGCCTACACTTCCCTAATAAATAATCATAATCAAAGTCTAAAAAAGTGGAAAGTCTAAAAAGCGGAACAAGTCCACAGTCTGCTAACTCGACTCTCCAGCCCAGGCTGCCCAGGCTACTGGGTCAGAGCCATGATCCGAAGCAGCTCGGCGTTGTAGCACGCCGCCTCACACAAAACACCAAGATGGTGCCTCAAGTACTGCTCCCAGGTGCCCAATTCCGTGTCCACCATAAAACATCTCTGGCGGTACTGGGCAAACCCAATGCGTTCGTGGAAATGGGCCTCGTCGGCGTCGGTGGGTGCAAAACGAGCACGGCAGTGGGTATCAAAAAACAGCATGTACCACCCTTCCAACGAGGGTCTCAAGGCCTGCAAGGACGACAATTGCGGGCCCAACTCGGCGAGGTGGTCGTCGATTCCCGACTCCAAGTCGGTCAAAAACTCTGCGGTGAAATTGTGGTTCAGGCAGAGTGACCGCACGGTGCCCATATCGTGGGAGCCCTGGACTGCAAGGCCTCTGGCTACCGCGGCGGTGGCTGCGAAACACTTTCTGGCGTGAACGAGCGCATTGGCTTTGGACGCCAAAAGCCGGTGTACGGAGGCGTGGGGCCCCGAGGCGACAGACTGGAAGAAGGCCTTGAAGCGGCGGCAGATTTCTCTTCTGTGTCTGTTGTAGCCGGGCTCGAGGGGGTCAAGTTGCTCGACCTGGTGTGCCATTTCGTTGAACTCGGCTGCGAAATCGTGGGGTGCGACCTCAGGCTGAGGGACCAGGGCGGCCTTCAAAAGAGGGAAGACTGCCGGGGCACGAAGGGCGCTTTTTGGGTGGAAACCACGGGAAGCGGGAGTATTTTTGCTGAGGATGGAAGGCGCATCGTCAGCGGAGAACTCAACCACGGCGTTGGTTCCAGAAAAGCTCACCTTTGTGGATTTCGCAGCCACGGGCTTGTCGTAGAGTTGAACCACGTCCAAGCCCATTTTCTCGAGTCTACGGAAACTGGCGTCGTCAGGGAGTGCTTGAGCGAGATGAGCCTCCAAGGCACTAGGGCGTGGGAGGCTTTCCTCGAGCGTGGCGCTGGAATCGTGCTCCAAGGTCTCAATGCGTGGAGACTTAGCACAAACAGCATCGGGGCCATTGGGCGAAAAGGCCGATTTGGGGAGAACAACCACCGTCACGAGCGGCAAGCGGACGGTCTGGGGAAGCAGCAAGGCGCTGGTCTGGCTTTGGCGGCGCCAGGTCTCAAAGAGCCAGTTCAAACGCACGAAGAAGTCGTGGTAGGGCGAGTAGACAAGGCTCTTTGGCTTGGGGGCGGTCACATCGCCGGCGGGTGGCTGGGGGAAAGTAAGCTTGAGTGGGGTTCTCTTGAAAGGAGAAGCAGGGACCTTGTTGGATGGGGAGGTGGTCCAGATTGGGCTGACGCCAGGAAGCTTGACAGGCTTCGATGGGTTGAAGGCAATTCTGAGAATTGGAAGCGGGTCAATTCTGAGAATGGGAAGACGGTAGCCAATGAGCCTGGGGAGCATGGTCGCTGGGACGGCTCTGTAGCACAGAACTGGTCTGGCTGGAACTGCGCAAATAGGTCCATACGAAACCACCAGGCTGATGGAATCGAGGGAAGGGCAGTCGACGTAGGATTTCCTGTCGCGTCTGAAAAGACGTCTGAGGAGCTCCTTGAAGCGAGCTCTCTTGGAAGGCTTCTGGGTGGAGGCCAGTTTGGCTGCAAGAGTCTCACCGTCAAGGCTAACCAGAGTAACGCTGAAAGGCGTTGAAAAGGGCAGCGGACGGGAGAAGCAGGTTTCCAGAGAGCTGGCGGAAACAAAAGCGGGGTGGGCGCTTGAAAAACGGAAAACGGACTTCATGACGTGAAATCTTTGCATTGTGGAGTGGTGGGTAGGGAAGAAAGAACTGCAACACAAATGGGATCGCGATATACCCCAGAGATTTGGCCGGCGGTACAAGCTGGGAGGGTCAGTTGAGGGGCATGCCGTGAACAAGGGAGTTATTTAGTGAATGACGCCGTTTTTGTTGGAGTTTCCTTGAAGGGTTTCTGGATGGTGAATCCAGGGCTCTTTTCGCAGCCATTTCTCCATAGTTAAGGCGGCACTGTGAGAGGGGATCCTTAGCAGGGAGCCCCAAACCCTGCGTTTTCGCCCCTTTGTTGCAATGATCCAGAAACTAAAACTTCCAAAAATCACAGAAAGCCTGCCCAATCGCTATTATCTCGATCCTCCTGCCTTCTCTGGTTCCTGATTACGTAAGTTCTGACCGATTGCTAGACAATGAGTACTCGCCTCCCAGCAACACTTCCCTGAATTCCCAGAACACAACAAAATTTATCAAAATATACCAATCTAGATAGTTTTGTCTCCCCATTCTGGAAAACCACTACCCCATGGATCCCTCCACATGGGCCTCCATTGACTGACCTACTTCGGCGTGGTGTACGGGTTCTCGGACCACTTCCCCAGAATTAAGCTCACCTGCTCTACCTTCCATATACTCATCATGTCTGAACCACGGGGTATTCTAAGAAACAAATCTGAATCCGGCCGTCTGCCACTGAGCGGCGAGGCGGAACTCGATAGATCCGAGGTTATTCGGAATACTCGGCTCAATGCTCAGTTGCAGTCCGAGTCCAGCAAAGGAGAGAGAATCAGAGCTAAAATCGCCGAGGCCAAGGAGGCAAACGGCGACTCTAAAACGCCAGAGCACTTGAAGTGGGACGAGATAAACTTGTACAAGACAGAGCAGGAGAAGGCCGCCACCATGAAGATCGACGAGCCCAAAACGCCTTACGAAGGCGGTTTCAACCCCGAAGGCGAATACTACCAAAAAGATGACGACGAGGAAGAGATTCCCGACTTTTCTCTCGGCGAGGGCCAGTTCGACAGTGAAGCCGCTCCAGCGCAAGACGACAGAATCACCAGAGACGAGGCTGTGGAGGACGAGGAGGAGGAAGACGAGGACCAGCCTCTATCGGCAGAAGACAGACACAAGAAGTTCGAGGAGATGCGGAAGGCCCACTACCACCAGGCTGCCAACCCGCTCAAACACAGAATTGAGGTCTCTGACGACGAAGACGAGCAGCTGTAGCCTCCCTCACGATTCACGATAAATAATGTTTCATACTAACAGAGCAAGCGACGATAAAGAGCCTACAATTGAGTTTGTGGTGACTTGTGATAAATATTCTATGCCCTCTATATATCGCCTAGGCAAAGTACTTCAAGTGACCAGCGCTGACAGAACCAGCAGAGGTCAACTCAGCAGCAGTCTCCTTGATAGCAGCCTTGGCCTCAGCAGCATCGCCAGCAAGCTTACCGGCAAGAGTAGCCAACTGGGTGTCGTCCAACTTCTCCACCAACAACTCAAGATCAGCGTCGATGTTGGCAGAAGAACCCTCGTCACCGAAGTAGGCCTTGTCCTTACCAGCAGATCTGACAGCTCTCTTGTTCTTCTTCTTGGCAGCCTTAGCAGCCTCCTTGGCCTTCTTGGAGTTAGCCTTGAGAGCAGCAGCCTCCTCGTCGGCCTTCTTCTTAGCAGCCTCTTCCTCAGCCTTCTTCTTAGCAGCCTCCTCAGCAGCCTGTCTGGAACCAGCCTCCTTCTCCCACTTCTTTCTCTCCTTCTCCTTCTTGGCCTCCTCCTTGAACTGCTTGATTCTTGGGTCCTCGGACTGGGCACGCTGGACAAAGTCGATGATTCTCTTGTTGTCCTCCTGCTTCAACTTCTTTCTGTTGGAGATGTTCTTACGCTCAATGTAACGCTTGTGGTCTCTGTTGGCGGTGTCGTCTGGAACGTCCTCGTCCTTGAACTCGAAGGTCTTCCACGAGTCGAAAGAGCCCCAGAACTTGTAGAAAGCGTCAACCTCTTCCTTGGTGGCATCAGCAGCACCCAAGAGTGGGACTGGCTGCTTCTTGGAGAAGTGGGCCTCGGACTCGAAAACTGGGCCCCAGGCCTCGAAGAAGTCGTACTGGGTCTTTGGAGCTGGAGGCGCAACAACAGCAGCCTCGTCCACAGAGTCGTACTGCAATCTCTTAGTGGAGTCCAACATGATCTCGAAAGCCTTCTGGATAATCTTGAAGAAACCGTCCTGGTCCAAGCCACCGGCAGCAGACTTCTTGTCAGGGTGGTGCTTCAACACCTGCTTTCTGTGGGCTCTTCTGATCTGGTCCTCAGTGGCCTTGTATCTCAAGTGAGAGATACCCAAAACAGCGTACAAGTCAGCGGTCTTCCACTCTCTTGGGTCGTGGGCCAACAACTCGGCAGACTGCTCCTCGTCACCCAAGTCATCGTCAGCGTTCTCCTCGATCTGCTTGACGTTCTTCTCGGCCTCCAACTTTTCGTATTCAGACCAGGTGTGGCCTCTCAAGGTTCTGGTAGCGTGGGCCAAGAAGTATCTGCCAACTGGCTCGATAGGACGGCGGGTTGGGGCGGTGAAGTTCTTGACGGACTCGAAAGCGGGGGTCTTAGGACCCTGGAGGGATGGCAAAACAATGGACATTTGGATGGTGTGGTAGTGAGATGGAGCTGGAAAATTTGTGGTAGTAGCTGTGGGTGTGTGCAGGCGCCATCAACAAAAGGCATCAACGGGGTGGTAGACAATGCTTCTACGAGAGGTTGCTGGTCTTTTTTTGGTGAATTTGATTGTTTTATTAAGGTGGGTTTATGTGACGGGATTCAATGGCGGGCGATGGTCGATATGTCATTGGGAAGGCAACCCATGCATCTCGCAGCCACATCGCTAGAGGTTGTGGTGACATTAATGCAGTGATAGCTTGGATCCTATTAGTCTATGAAACTGTTTAAAGTGAACTTGCTTTTCACCCCCATTGACCATCTGACTGTGGTGTGACTTAATTTGCAGGCTTTCCACTTGCCCTCATATCTGGCACACATAACCTTCCCGCTAAGCTTGGTTCGACCTCGCCCAATGATGTCGAGAAGGATATGGAATACTCTTCTCTTTCCTTGAGAAGCTAATTCTCTGCTTTCCAGAAATAAACTCCGAGTGACGCCTCAATATCATCATCACACCATAATCCATCATCACACCTACTCCTTGATGGCGGCCATGTCAAGCACCTCCACGGCGCCTTCTCCCTTTTTGAGCTGTGCATTCTCGCCCTGGAGCAAGTCAACAATCGTCTTGTAATTGGAAGGATCAATGATCGCAATGGCCTCAAACAACTTCTCACCTGCCTTCTCGTCCTCTACCGTATCAAGCAACGCCCTAAAGTGTTCATCGAAAGCTGGCTGGACACGAGCAAGAAGCGTGATTTTCACCTTCATCTGAGCTCTGGCAATCGGCATGACCTGCTCTTGAATCAAAAGCTTGATTGCTTCTAGAGCTTGTGTCTTGGCTGGTTTGTTGGGGTTCAAATGGAACTTGAGCTGGTTGAGCGCCTTTTGAATCATGCTGGGAGGGTATCTTTTCTTTGATCTGGGGTTAATGCATTTCGTGGAGATGAGGTTCAAGAACTCATTCTGCTTTTGCCTCAAGTTGGCACTTCTCTCCTTCTCGTTCAATTGAATCTCGCCCTTGTCCAAGATTTCTAGGATGATCTCGTCGTGATTCGTGGAGCCAAAAGCGTTAAGAAGGTCCTCGTTATTGGCCACCTGACCTTTGGAAACGTTCATGAACACTTGCGGAATCTGAAGCACCTCATCTATATCCTTCTCAACTCTCAGTCTCCAGTCCTGGACTTTATTTTGGTAGCAGGCTATTTCAAACCGCTTTTTACCTTTCCTCATTCGAACAAGGGAAACATTAGTGAGCTTGATTTGGTTGGACGGCTGGTTGATGACTGCCATAATGAGAGTAGTATTGATAAGCGATGCCTCATACTAAGCGCGCAAGTATGTACCCACAACCAGTGGGTTCATTTTGACAAGACATTTTTCTGGAATTTTCTAAATCGTGATTCAGGGATATTTTATGCTGAATATTTAGGCTATCTCAGCGTACCATTATTTTGTTGCTCCGACATGGGCCTAGAAGTGAACTATAGTAAAACCTACAACATCTACTAATCGTTTAACGGAAATCAATTCAACTTTATTGTTACGGCAACAAACCCGCTCGATCACTTGAGCACAACCTTGTAGGTGGCGATCTCGAAACCTCTCAAGGAAATATCCACCGAGTTGTCCTGCAACTCAAGCTCGTGTTCAACCTCCTCCAAAGCATTGGCCTTGTAGACCTTGTCCACAGATAAGCCGAATTCAAGCTTACCACTGGAGGATCCACCCAACGACTCGTAAACACGAACCACGATCGACTGCTGGCCCTTGTTTTGTTTTTCGATGTTCTCAGCAGTGCTGATATCCTCATCGTCCTCACTTCTCTTCACATTCGACAAGACCAAGGATGAGTCTCCAGACAAGCTGATGGCCTTGGTGATCAACTCCACCTCTTCGGGGTCACCGTGGGTGTACAAAAGCTTGTAGTTGAAGTTCTGAGCCAATCTCACGATATCAGGACCCAAACCACCCTTGTGAGGGTACACAGCGTAGGAGAAGTCATGGGAGCCCATATCAGCCTTGTCATCAGGAGCCTTGGCAGAACGGAGGAGCGACAATCTCATCAAGTTACCGTGAATGGCAGCACCATACTTGGAGTCGTTGAAGATCGAAACACCGTAGTTGTGCTCAGACAAGTCCATGAATTTGTGGTGGCAAACTTCAAACTTGGCAGTGTCCCAAGATGTGTTGTAGTGAGTGGCTCTTTGGGTAACACCGAATTGAGTCTCGTACAGCGCATACTGGGCAGTCTGCAAAGTAGTTGGGAATTGCACCTTCAAGAACTTGTAAGTTTCGTGCCACTCAACGTGAGAGGTGAACCTAAGGTAGTTGTTCTGGG